TTCTGTACATCGTCTTGCTTGTTGGTGTGCGACAATATGCTAACAACAGCATCAGGCTGGCGTTGCAAACCGGATGACGAGTCGCAGCAAATACGGCACGAAGAAGCCAAAGACGGCCACTGTTGGCTAGGTCTGGATTTCATAGGAGCCATTCGAGCTAGGAAGACAGCGTTGGGTTGATAGATATGTCGTGACCGGGTATCTTATGTACGATATAAAAGCCAAAAATTTACCGTTATATTTTCAACGCTTCCACTTATCGTATTGACCTTATCGTATTGATCCGTTCACATTATTTACTAGAATCCCATTAACGATCGAGTCTGTTTTAATTCGCCTTGGGCTTGACCAACTTATCGTACAGCACCAAACCGGAAAGCCAAAAAAGAGTATCAGATCCTGTTGTTTCGTTTCAATCTATCCGTAGCCTGCGGTATGAACCATCCAAAACACAAAGGTAAGAAAACAGAAACAAGTAAAGTGAGAGGCACGAAAAAGAAACAGGATTTCGCGGTTCGGAAAACAAGATTATGAAGAATTTGTTTTTACAAAACAGAAAACCGCATTCCCAAAATATCGACTGCTTTCATAGTCAATCCTGTGCAAAGTGCGCCGCCTGTTATTTCCAGACTGTTGATTTCCACCTTCAGCAGACCCGTACCAGCGCCATGTCTGACGTAGCACACTTGTGCCTTAACGTCATGGAGGCCATGATGAAACGCGCCGGAGTTCAATGTAACCCATGTCATTTCTGACTGCCATGCTCTGAAAACTATGGTGATTCGCGCATATCTATTTCGGTGTTGGAAGGTTGGAGGGTTGTATGGTTTTCAATTGGAGGTGATGAGAGCAGATTGGTGCTGCTCTAGCTCTGCTTCTCCCAGCCATCCGGCTTCTCCATGTTGTTCATGTCGAAGAATCTCGACGTGCCTGGACTGTTAGCGATCATGTTTTGCCGCGACGACGTAGTTTACGCCAAAACAAAACGAAATAAAACAAAATAACAATATTTAAACTTACAAGAATAGCCCTTCCAGTCAAAATTGTTCTTAGGGTTACAGTGACAACGCAGCTGCTGGCGCGTCTCCTCGCCCGTGGGGCAGTGGGTGAAGGGAACGTGGTAGTAGGCAATGTCGTTGAAGAAGTGGATCTCCTCCTTCGGCAGCAACAGTCCGGCGGCGATGGAGTGCACGGGGGCATCACCCCAGCGCTCGTAGAAGAAACCGCCATCGCGGTCGAGCGACTCGAAGAAGTCGGTGTAGGCCTTGGAGCGCAACCAGTTCAGGTTGCCAATTTCAAAGTTGGACCACTAGACAGGTCAGTTGGGGTAGCAAAAAGACGAGAAAAGCACAGAAACATAAATCGGCAAATACATACAAAGTGGCACTTGTTGTAGGTCTCGCCGTCGTCGTCGCTGAGGAAGCGCATCGAGTTGTCCTCGGCAATGTGCTCGGGGTGCTCCTTAATAAACTTCTTGACGCTGTCCCACAGAGTCGGGATGGTCTCGGCGTACTCGTACAGAGACAGCACAAACGAGTACTTTTTGTTGTTCTCGTGGATGTAGCGGAAGGGGTCGTAGTGGATGTCGCAGAAGTACTCGATGCTGGGCTCCACGCGCCAGTAGTAGTCGTAGTTGAGCATTAGCTCCTGCTGGAAGAAGAAGCCAGACTCGAAGCGGCACATGTGGCGGTAGCTGACCGAGTCGCCGTAGATAATCTTCTTCTTGGCCATATCCTCACGGACCTTCTTGGCCTTGTCCTGGTCAATGAACTCGGGGAACGACCAGTGCTCGGGCGGGATCAGGCCGTAGTGGGTGGTGCCGGAGATGAGGGACGTCGTGACCTTCTTGAACTCCTCGTCAAACGGCTTGTCGTTGAGGAAGACCCAGTCGTAGTGGTAGCGCTTGTTGAAGCGGTCCTCCACCTGACGGATCGACCGAGCGACTTCCCAGACGTCTGAGTTACGGGCCAGGGTGACAAAGGTGGCGTTCATGCGAGGGCCGGGGGCGGTATCGACGGGCGCGTAGAAACCGGGGTCGTTGGGGGACATGGCCAGGGGGTAGTCGACGGCGCTGCCGCCGCTGGTGGTGGTGCTGCCGAATACTGAGCTGCCCGAGCTGCCGGAGCCAGTAGAACCACTGGTAGAACCCTCCTTGATGGCCTTCTGGCTATCTGAAGAAGACTCAGTGTGGGAGTTTGTGTGGCCCGATGGGTCGCTGGACGAGTCGGAGGATGAGCCGGAGGACGAGGAGCTGCTGCTGGGCCTCAGACCGAGCATCTCGGGTGTCCGCAACGCGACATTATCGGATGTGTTGGAGACGAAGTAGACAATGGCGATTACCTGTGGGAGGAAACCCGGTTAGCGATGTCGTCGAGTATGGGGCCACCGGCGGGCCACCGCCGGCCATCAAGAAAGGGAAAAGAAGCGGTCGACGTACAAAGAATGCGATCACAATGTACCGCACGTAGCGGGCGTTGCCGACCATGATTGCGGCAACGATGGCGACCTAAAGAGGACGCTTGAGCTGTAAAGTCTGTGATGGACAAAAAGAGAACCGAATGTCGCGGTTTGGAAAAGAGCGTAGTAAAAGAAAGGATGTCGGCGAAGGAACCGTGCTCATGAAACGTCCCTTCAACTGCTTCAAGGGAAAAAAGAAGTCAAAATGAAAAAGAAGACAAACTGAAGAGAAGAAAGAGAAGTGAACAGGTGCGTTGTATGTAGAAGACGAGATGAAAAAGAGATCCACGAAAAGGGAAGGCGAAGACGAAGAAAGGGGATAGGTGTGGGGGGTGGAGTCTCAATGAAGCCAAGAGCCTACAAGCAGGGGTGCCCCAAGAAGCGGAATAGGTCGATCCCTTTGCCTGTGCAAATATATCAAAGCTTGTATTTGGTTACTCCGTTGGAGTGAAAAAGGATGCGAGAGACTTGAGAAAAAGGAGAAGCAGGGACAATGCCATACGCGACATACGAAGGGCAGGAGCAAAAAGCAAGAAAAGGAGGCAGGCGCGATGGACAAGGCCTGGCAAGGGAGAGCCGAGAAAAGAGACAAAATGCAGAATAGGGGCCTAAAGCAAGGCAAGGGTGTATTACGAGGAGGGCGCAATAAAGCGGACCTTTGTCCAAGTTAGTTTGTCTTTGGGAGGACATGTGTGTCGGCGTCGGCTCGTCAATCGAATGGCCTGACCATAGTGTCGAGATGCAACTAAATAACAGCGCATGGATTATTCACCAGGAGGACAGAGAGCGCTGAGTTATGGCGCGAAAGAGGCGCGCGCCGCGTGTTTGCAAGGTTCCTCTCACTGGAGCGACGCCCTGGAACGCCCTGTTCTAACGCCCCTTAGAACGTGTTCAGTTCAACGGAAATTGCCCGGCGTGGCGTAGCGTGACGGTAGGCATGCTCGCATGGCTCGCAGGTACGTCTAGCCCGTTTGGGCGGTATATTCAGCTCGCGGTTAGTGTGTAATTGCGTCGTGCAGTGGGTGTATCTAACTACGAGGAAACTGTGGCCCTAAACAATTTTGATTTAGTGGATGTGGCGCCTTGACGAGCCTCTGCGGCATACTAGACAGGTAATAGTGGAATCTTACAATTTTCAGCAGTAAAATTACCGACTACTGCGTCGTGGTTACCGGCAGGACGGTTTACGCCACAGCGCGCTGGCATCTTGGAGGCTGCTTCGGCAGGCTCGCTGAAGGCAATTTATATTGGCGACCAAGTAATAAGTGACATCTCGTATTCACTAGCGGGTGTGCAGATTGGCAGCGACCTCATAGACTCAATGCAGCGTCCCATTTCATCTCAGCTAACCACCTCTTTTCCTTTCTGGAACGCGTTCGTCCTGCACGTTCACAGTAGGCTGCGTCAAGTCCCCCAGGTCCGATATATGTACGGTAAGATAGCTTGATGCGCTGGACCAATGAGAATCTAGAGCACAAGGCAATACAACGCCACTGAAGCCGCAAAGGGGCATTTGAATAGGAAAAGACAAGTGCTGGACCAGAGGTACAATACGACTCACATTAAATATAGAAGCTGATGATCAGGGATATCGGTACTTTTTAATAGAGGCCGTTAGCAGTTCGTTAGTAAACTGGCGCTCGAACCAGGAGGCAGAAGCGGAGGAACGGAAGGACTGGAGTGCCTTCGCTTGGTACTGTTCTGCTACATCTTACGATCGTACTTACTAGGGTTGTATTGGCTCGTAATTACTGGCTCCAACTGCCGTGGGCTTTGTTTTCGTTGGGGATGCACTGGACACTTTGCGCGTCAGGTTTTCACATGATACTTAGAGCACCAAACAAAACATGGCCATAGGGGCCCAGTTCACAATCATGGTTGGCGTTTTATTCACATTTTTGCACTGCCGTTGCGTTTTGATAGAACCACGATGTAGCACGGCATACATCATACGAGTACGACATATATTGATGTTTCGAAACCTAGACGTGTCCTGCCGCCGTCGGAGTGCGATTTTGGCGACCGGCAACTGAGAGATGCAAGCATGCCAAGACAATAATGCTTATTCTTATCGGCTAGTCAATTGGAATCCTTCTCAAAGAATAAGGTCGTTCTGGCCGGTTGTTGACGCCACACTCCTGCGCTCAAATGTGGCTTCGAAGCTTCTTCGTCTTCGTGGCACACGAAGGTCATCACACGGCTGACACAAAGCACAGGACGGCATTTGCTGTAAGAAGCATTCGGCACGACTTACAGCAAACCATGAATCAAAGAAGAGCAAACCAAGAAGAGCTCCGACTTTTTCAATCTTGTTCTGTGGCAGTTGCCGTTGTGATTGGTTGCGGCGTATTTTCTCCATTATTTATAATCACGTGACAGCGCACGCATTTCCTGAGCTAACTGTTCCACCTACCTTTGCGCACCATTTGCACCATTTTGCGCAACATCGTGGCCGTCCACAACACCAAACAAAAGCTCAACAACCCTCCCCCCCAACTCGTGCATGTCGATTACATCGACAGCCACGACCCCGCATATCCAACATGGCCTTCTTTGGCTTTGACCAATCCTCCCAGTCGCGCCATAATACGGCCGCGCCGGGCTTCTCCCAAATCAACGATCCCTTTGCTGGTCTCGCGAGCGGTAACGCGGTCGACGACGCACTCGAGTTCGAAGACACCTACGACGGCCTCGGCGACCAGCTCGAGGAGACCGGCGATGCCTTCAACGATGACACCTTTGGTGGTGATGCTGTGCTAGGCGGTGCGAGCGGCGGCGCCAGTGGCGGCGGCGGCAACACGGGCGCCTTTGGCTCGGCCAAGGTGGGCAACGACTTTGACTTTTTCGGCCAAACGGCCAAGGTCTCCGATGCCATTGAGGAGGAGCACGCCCGCTTCAACCGCATGCAGCCCGTCGCCCGGAACGCTCCCGTTCGCAACGACTATACACAGGGCCCGTCCGTGGGCAGCTACAACCAGAACTACTTTGCTCCGGCCCCCGCCGTGAAGCCTGTCCGCTCCGGCTACGAAAAATACAAGGAGCCCGAGCCCGACATGCAGGTCGACGCTGCCCTGTGGGGCGTCGCTCCCAAGAAACCCGCAGCTTCGTCTACGCCCCAGGCCTCGTCGACGACGAGCCAGACTGCTCCGTCCGGCCGCAAGATCCTGAGCCTGGAGGAGGTCGAAGCAGCCATGCGCAACCAGAGCAAGGCCCAGGAAGCCCCTCCCGTGCAGCCGCAGCAGCAGCCGCAGCAGCAACAGCCCATCTACCAGCAAATCCCGGAGCAGTACCACCAGCCACCTCCTGGCGACTACTACCCGGTGCCGCCGCAGGAGCTTCTGGGCGATCCTAGCCAGCTTCATAGCCTGAACCATCCCATGGCCCTGCTGCAGCGCCCGCCTGCACAGCAGACATCGCCGGGCATGTTCCCGAATCCACAGCAACAGCAGCAGCAACAGCAACAGCAACATCTGCAACACCGGCAAGCGCCGCCCGCCCAGCCAACTCAGATCCTCCAGAACCCTAACCGGCTCTCGGAGCAGTTTGGTGCGCCGCCTCCGCAGCAGTTCCCCAACCAGCCCTCGCATCATCGTCAGACCAGCTCGTTCTCGGGTGTTCCCCACATCATTACGCACCCGTCGCAGCTCGTGCACCTGTCCGACGAGGAGAAGGCGGCCTACCTGGAGCAGGAGGCCAGACGTGCCAAGCGCAACCACAAAATCTTCCTGCTGTCCAAGAACAACGGCCTCATGACGCCCCAGGACAAGAACTTTGTTACGCGCATCCAGCTTCAGCAGCTCGTGTCGGCCACTGGCAACCCCAACGAGCACGGCACCGACGAGGCTCTCCGTGAGGACTTTTACTACCAGGTTCTGAACCAGATCCGTGGCGGCAACCGTCAGCACCCAGGCCAGCCGCTCAACAACTTTGCCCAGACCTACCTGTTCCAGACGGGCAGCCGCTTCAACTCGCGCCGCTACATGAACCGGGACCGTGGCGCCGACAACCACATGCAGCGCATGGAGCAGCAGGTACAACGTGCCGTCGAGGCCGCCAAGAACCGGCCCAAGAACAAACAGCTGGTGATCGAAGGCACCCTCGGCAAGATCTCCTTCAGCAACGCCAAGACCCCAAAGCCGCTTCTTAACATTAAGCGATCGTCCGAGGCCGCTGCGGCCGGTGGCGGCAGCGGTTCGAGTGGCGCCGAAGGCGGCGGAGGCGGCAGTGGCAGCGTGGGCGCCGACCGCCCGGCCAGTGCCCACCACAAAGTGTCGCAGTCGACGAGCGGCCACGCGCGTGTGCTCGACCGCAAGACCGTGCTCAACAGCATCGAAAAGGTGTACGCGACGCTCATGGAGATTGAGGACCACGCGCGCTCGATCCCGCCGCCGCCCACGGAGCAGGACGACCTGGAGCTGATGCAGCGCCGCGGCGAGTGGGCCGAGCAGCTCGAGGTGCTCAAGACGCAGCTGTGGCGCGAGCTCAAGGTGCACGAGCCCATTGGCGAGTTCCCCGTGCACCCGTTCATTGCCTTTTTGTCGTTTCCCAAGGGCAAGAAGGCCATCCCGCGCGTGTTCCGCCACCTGTCGGACGAGCTGCGCGCCACGGTGCTGACCATGATTGTTGTGCACCTCGACCAGCTGGACATTGTGCGCAACGCGCAGGTCACGAGCGACAGCGATGAGGGCACGGGCCCGAATGCGGCGCTGCGCGAGGAGATTGAGCTGTTCACGCTCACCGTGGTGCACACGCTGTTTACGTTTATGAGCGAGCTGCAGCTGGACCTGGTGGCGGGCGTCCTGGGCTTGATTACGAACCTCAAGGTGGACGTGGTTGCGCGGTCGAGAATCGGCGCGTCGATGCTGACCACCATCTTGAGCCGTGCCGAGCTGATCAAGCAGGCCGGCGGCGGCACGCCCGAGCAGTGGCAGTCGTGGGAGATGACCTACAACAACTTCTTCAATGCGCTCGAGCCGGTGCTGCCCTACATGTTCCCCGGCACGGTGTCGTCGGGCGAGGACATGTACGTGTGGCAGCTTCTGGCGGCGCTGGGCATTGGCGCGACGCCCGACCAGCAGCAGCGCCTTGTCCTGGCCGTCAAGGACCGGGTCATGGACACCGTCGCGGTGGCCAAGACGCTGCCGGTCGACCTGTCGGCGCAGCGCCTGCAGAATGTGAACCTGTTTATGCGTTCCATCGGTCTGGACGTCGAGCTGCTCCAGTAGGAGACGGTGATGGCACGTCCCCATAACGTGTCCGCCATTCGCAGGGCGTCAGGCGTCTGTACTGCCAATGACGCCCTTGGAAGTGTCCGTGTCTTTTTCTAAACGGCCTTTCTGATTTTTACCGTTCAGCGTGTGCTTTTTATTTGCTTTCCCCTGTTTCAAGCTCTGCATTGTTTTGTCGCTTGTTCTGATTTGCGTTGCTGCTGCTTTGCGCTGTATCCTCTGCTCTGCATTTTTCACGTTTATTTGCTTTTCACAAAAGTCGAATGCAGTATTTTTATCAACCCTGCTCGGCAACAAACCACAACGTCGACGAAGTTCGTCAAACCACAACAATGTCAACCAAAAAAAAATCACAAAAGTTAGAAAGTCACGACAACAAAACAGGCCACTACACAACAAGACACAACAAAAGACTCCTTGGGACGAGCCTCTCTGCTAAGCTCGAAATAGCCTGGTAGATGTTCCTCGTCTCCATCGAGCACACATGGACATTTGGCGGCACGACGGCACCCGTTCTTCTCGAGCATTGGCCACCTTGGGGAGGACTGGACCACGTCTAGCTCGCCGATTTGTTCACAAATGGACCATTTTTACCACGTGCCATTTCTGGGGACAAGAAGACACCAGCGTCAGACATTTTTAACTTGGCCTGGGTCGTAGGGATGGGGAAACGGAAAATTGCCACAGTTTGATGTTTTCAACAGAAACTGTCAACATAGGAAAGCATTGACGGGGGAAGAAGGAGGTTGCTTTCAGGAATCCAGTGCCCGAGACTATTTTTTTGCTGTCAATGAGGGCTTGGAAACGGGGGACAGCACAACGAAGGGTGTGTTGCTACTTGTAACCTGTATTGTATTACTTACGTATCATGCTACAACAAGGACATGTAGAAGGACAAAGCGGAGGTTTGGGGATCGACCAGGAACTTGCAGGCCCAAAAGAAGAAAAGACAATGCAAGGCATGCCCATTTTACGAGGCAATGCAGGAAGAACTTGGTTCCTCCGAGGTGCATCTTGTGGTTGTATATCTTTTTGAATTCTATACAGACGGTACCGCAACGGACGGCCCGATTTCCCAAATCCCATTGTAACGCCATGCCAAATGCTGATAGAATTGACCCCCACTCCACCCCCATCAGAATCCAATGTCCAAAAATGTGACGATTTCAGCCGCACGACATGGTTGGCTCTTATGCCCTAACTCGACCCACGAGTGCTTCCAAAGACGTACCTCTGGGGCGCAAATTGGTAAGTCACCCTCGTTTCAGCCCAAAGTCCCTAGCAATTTCTCAATGTCAAGAAACGCTCAGACTATCAACGCCAAGGGCACTGTACACCCAAGTTTAATATGTTCAGCCCTAAGAGATAATCCACCCCACCTTTACTGGTCCACGTCCATGGCCACACCACGCCCTGCTTGCCGTGCCCGAGCACCACGAGCGCGCGATGTCGTTGCAGGGGCCGCAGCCGCAGCCTTGGACGCGGCTGAGCGGGCCAATGGGCGCGTCCGGCGCTGTGCATTGGGCGACGTAGATTGTGCGTCCGCCTCGCTCTTGATTTCGATACCACCAACCGCCGTGGGCAACGGCAATGCCGGCCCCTTGCCTTTGACGGCCGTTTTCGACTTGGCCATGCTGGCGGTAGGGGTGGGTGTCAGGTCGTCGGGCGGCTTCTCAATCCTGCTAATGGCCTGCAGCATGTCGTCTTCGGTCCAGTTTGTGAGCAGCGCCGGTACCTTGTCGACCAGCTGGCCGTGGGCGGCGTCGGTCACGATGTCTTTGCCCTTGCCGCCCACGTCGTCGGCGCCGCTCTCTGTTGCTGTCGTCGTAGCCGCCACGGCCGTTGCTGCCTGCATGGCCGCCGCCGGGTCCTTGAGGAACAGCGTCTGGTCGTACACCTCCCACGAGGTCTCGTCGTCGTCGCCTACGTAGAGCATGCGTGCCCAGTTTTCCATCTGCACGGCGCGCAGGCGGTCTGCCATGGTTTCCGTAATGACCTCGTCGCCGTCGGCACCGGCGCTCTTGACGGTCATGTGGATAGCACGAGCGCCAGCGGCACCGGCCGCACGACCGCCTGCACCGCCTGCACCGGCGCTCCCTGCACCGCCAGCGCCGCCAACACCAGTGCCGCCCTCGCCGCCGCCGGCACCCGCCGCAGCATTTGTGTCCCGGTGCTTGGCGCGCTCGACCTCGGCCTCGGCGTCAATATGGTGCATTTGCGGCCGCAGGTGGACGAGCGAGTTGACGGGCGTCAGATGCAGGTTGCCGCCGTCAAAGGCGCCAATCATCCAGCGCGCCTCGGCGATGCGGGCGGGCGGGCACATGCCGCCCAGCGTCTGCAGCCGCAGCACGCGGTCCTGGCGCACGGCCTCGGCCCAGTCGGCCGACGATGTGGTCCCAGCACCAGCCCCAGCCCCAGCCGATGGGCCGCCCTCGGCTTCGGCGGCGGCGTGGGTCGCGGCCGCCGCCTGGGCAGAGGCAGCAGCGGCACCGCGGCTACCACCACCACTACCGCCAGGACCGTGGCGGTTGTTACCCTGGGTGGTGCCGCCCACACCAAAGCCGCCCGCCAGACCGTGGCTGCCCCCCGCCTTGGCCTTGGTGGACGTCGCCAGCGCCGTGCCCCAGGCGATGCCTTTGGCGCGGTCGTAGGCCGAAGCGTAGTCGAGGGGCACGTCGACCTCGACCATGCCCGACGCGGTCTTGATGCGCAGCTCGGTCGGGGTCTGGCCGCTGAGCGAGGTGGCGCCGGCACCGCTACCGGCCGCATTCTTGTCGGTGCGATTGGGATACTGGAGCACGAGCAGTTTCTGATGAGCGGGCAGCTGCGGCTTGAGGAAGACGTTGTAGCGGGCGATGACGGGGTCCGGGTCAGGCGTGGCGACCGTGTCTGAGCTTTCTACTGTGGCCATATTTGCGGTCGTGTGTCCAAAGCGACAAGTTTCTCGAGCGTCGCTGGGTGAAGTGGTCGATATGGCAAGACGCGGAGCGACTCCAATCGCAAGGACAGCTCTGACGCTGTAAATTTTCTTGGTGGTTGACGAGTAAGTACGGCAGAATAAAATAAGTGGGTCCCAAGGCCAACATCTCTTCTCTCCGCCCTACCGCCCTAGCGTAGGTCGTTCACAACTACTTGGCTTCAATGAAAGTAGACCAAGTTCTCCGCGACATGTCGACAACCTTTCAATTTCAATCCGACCGTTAGACGACCCCTACTGCAATTTTGCTTGATTTATGGTTGATTTATTTATCCAGTTTACAAGCTCATACAATCGTTGGCAGTATGTGTCTGTTCGAACCTTTCGCTCTTTCAGACTTTATATTCTAGTACTTTGGAGACGAGGTTTCTTCTTAATGTCTTGGAAAAACACTGGACAATACACACACATTGCTGTTGCTCGGGATATGGGTTATGCCTTTTTTTCTTTCCTTATTATGAGCTCCTGTATTTCGTATTATGTAGTCAGACTACGTGTTGGACTGCGGTACCTCAGACCTGTTATCTAGCGTTGGTGCCACAGGGCTCTCTATTTTGCCAGTTGGCTTAGTGGTAGCGGTCTAGTCTTAAGTCTTAAGGTACTAAAACGGTGTGGGATGCTACCTAATGAAATGGCGAAGCAGATTTATGACTAAGGCTAAAACATCCCACCTTGCAGGATGAATTCTCTTGCGGATGGAAAGATTCGATGACTGTCGACAGGAGTTCTGAACGAAGCTCCTGTCAAGTTACCTCTTCTTTTCTCGACGTGTAGTTGCTTGCATTTTTGTCATGGCATGCCCAAACACCGTTGAATCTACGGGGATTCAACGGGGTTTCACCGCTTATGTCAGCCAGGCCTTACTAGCGTGCCTGCTGGGCGCGGCCCGCCAGCATGGCCGCCGCCAGCCGGCACGGCCCTGGCCAATTGTCAGGCACCTACAGGCCCCTTCCACTTACTTGTTATTCGCCAGAGATTCTACGGTGCATCGCAGAGTGCCTATGCACTCCCCTCTATAGCTGGCCGCCAGCCTCTAAGGCCAGGGCGCCTTCTGCGTGGGTGTCTTAGGTATGCGTTGATTCAACGGGGAATCTACGGTGTTTCTACAGATAACAATATAAGCTCATCCGAGCCCTCTCCTCTCGATGAGGCGGGGTAAGGATTAGATTTTGCACATCCTACTACCTACGTTTTGGCTGTCTTGCTTCGTGATCCTCTCTCTATTGAACCCCTATCCCTAGGACCCTCTGACAATTTTCCTCACTGTCTATCTGTTTCCCCTTTTCCTTTTTATCATTTCATTTTACGCATGGACTTCTAATCGGAAGCTCTTTTAAGGCCATATTTTTTTGGGGAGAAGGAGGGAGAGAGGCCAAAACTACTAACTAAACTTAAACCTACAAAAACATCAGGATAATTACTCAGAATACTCCAAATGTTCCAGAAAATATTATTAATAATCCTCAAAATACTTCTAACAATAATATTACTCAAAATAACCCTAACAATAATGTTACTCAAAATATATCTAACATTAATGTACCTCAAAATATTCCTAATATTCTTAATCTTCCTATTGTTCCAGAAGGAGATACAAGGGGACTGCCCGCTCTTTAGAAATCGGCATGCTAAGATACCGACAGAGACTGTTCCTTAGTCTATTTAGTTTTAAAACTTAAGAAGATAACAAGCTATAGATAAGAAATACATAATATCCAGACGTGGATTTCACTAGAGTGCTTCGTATACACCTTGCTCTTGCGACAACGTGTTCTGCACACACCACCAACTTTCAAGCTGTAAGACGTACATAAAAACACGCGGCATAAGTAAAAGGAAAGCTGACCTCACGCTAGGCTGAAGTGGGGCAATCTTCTTGGTACATTACGGACCTATCCAGTTGGATCAGTGCAATCCTACGAAATACATGCATGCTCATCTCACAATACGATAGGCGCAGCTGAACCTGCACGTCTATGCTTGGAATGCCCTGGATGTTGCAGTCTGCCTTGCACGGTGTCACATACTACGTCTTACGGAGGGAGTGTGTACACATGGGCGTTGCCCATTTGGACCTTGTAAATTATCATCAACTTCCATCTTTTACGCGTATTTTCGCTTCGATTTTAACCTCACGTTGCGTCTTTTTCGGATCAATTCACTTTGTCAACTGTTTTTATTCTCTTGGTTATTTACCTCTAATCCCCGGTAGCCCTGAGAGTAGGTTGTAATAGGTAGAATTAACCCTGAAAGTAGGTTGTCAGCCCTGCACCCGTATGTCCGACGAAGGAGGGTAGGAGGGCCATGCTAGTTCCTATCCCATGCGTTGGTAACACCAGTACTACGAATTAGACGTTGCGAATATAAAAGGAAGCCGGACACTAGGGACTAGATTACTAAGACGAATGCGACGTGGACCCTAGAACAACAAATGCGTTATTCGTTCTGCGTTCGACGTCGGTATCAACCGCGCTGCTGCGAACGTTTGGCGGTGGCACTTCGCGAACGTCTATTTCCTCGTCCACCTCCATTTCGGCTGTCGCCGCGCGAACAAATATTTCTGCCGCGGCCGTCGGCGTCGGCTGTGCGCCTGGTGCTGCTGTGGCGGCCGGAGCGGATGGAGCGGCTGGCCCTGCTGGCCTTGGTGTAACGGTCCGTGACAGAGAGCGCGGAAAAAAGTGGGAGTACGACGGGGACGACGCGCGGGTGGAACGTGGTCGGGTGGCGGGTACAGTCGCATGGCCATCCACAACGTTCTCCCTGGAGACCACTGGAGCGGACGACGAGGCTGTCGCTGCCGATGTCGCTGCCGATGTAGCTGCGACGGGCGCATCGCTGGCTGTCTCACCTGCTGTGGCGTCGGCGGCATCGGCCCTGTTGGTACGCGACTCGGGCGGGCTGTCCTGGCTCTCTTCCACAAGCTGCGTCGCAGCGCGGCCTGCGGCCTCCGCGTGCAAGATGAGGAGGTGCCGTTTCTCCTGCACATGGCCGTTTGCATACTCGTCCACGCGGGACACGAAGTCTTGGATCGCCTCGTCCACAAAGTCGCGGTGTATCGACTCTTTGAGATCGTCCAGGATGCTCGCCCGTGTCATGTGTGCAGCGGACGCCACCCGGGAGCTCGTACGAGCCCATCGTAGCGGCATGCCGTGCACCGCACTGTCAAAGAAGGCCTTGGGGCTGTGGAGGAAGCAGCCCAGTGCGCGCAGAAAGGACACGCCGCTGTGGGCATCGCTGCTGCCGTGTGCCGCACGAGGAAGACCGGGGTCTGGGTTGAAGAACGAGGCGGCGGGATGGTCACAGAGGCAGCCTTGTGCCTGCAAGAAACGGAAGATGTCGATGGCCTCGGTCATTTTCCAGGCGTCTGCAGGATGTGTCGGATCGACGACAGCAAACACAAATTTCACGGGAGCGCGCCGGTGCACGAAGACGCCATACCACCCTTTGTTGTCGCCGTGCTCGTGGTAGATGGGGAAGACAAGGCTATCACGGTCTTTTGCTAGCAGCGGACGCTGCGTGGGCAGAGCGGGGGGCGGCCGGTCGCCTTGGCTCTTCCAGAACATGGAGGGGAAAATATAGACATTGTCATGCGTCCTGTTGCGCGTTTGGAGCTGCTCTGCGGACGCGTCAATGGTGTCGGCATTGATGTCGGCGGACGGGTCTTCCAGCGCCATCAGTGTGCGTCGTTTTTTGACAAAGACGGCCCGAACGTCGTCCGCGGCTGGACTGGCCGCATTATTGTGGGAGCTGTCATTTGTGGCAGCCGTGCCGTTTTGTTGCTGCTCATCTGGCTCGTTGCGATCCGTCTCGATGTCGCTATAAATGTGACGGTTAATGTTGTTGTAGCGGTCCGCGCGTTGCTCTCGGAGATTCAGCCGCGCTCTCACGTTTCGGGAAACAGTGCCACGGCGCCGTATATTTCGCCTGCGTTGTGGCGTCCTCTGTGATTTGTCAGGTCAGCATCGAGGCGAGACGGAGCTTTGGGGGCCTATAAGGCTATACATACCGGTCCAGTCACGCCCGCTCCTACTACTGGGCGCATCTGCTTCACGACCATGGAGACATCGCATGTTCCGACAGCAGAGAGCGAGCCATCCCCGTTGTCTCTGAATGCCGTCCGTATGTGACTTGCCTGTACAGTGTAAGCAAGGACAAGGACAAGCCAGCTAAAACAAATGCCAAACTATCCGCATCGAGGATTACTTACTATCCAATGGTGCCCCAGGCCAACCAATCCCCTCGTCGTCTTTAAGCATCCCCGCACAGAACATGCCCATCTGTCGCCGTCTGGGAAGTCATATTCCGCTGGTAGGAGTGCATGTTTCGAATTGGCAAACCGATTCTTTCGACGGGCTTGGTGATATGTGCGGCCCGGCTCTGCCATCACAATCTCGCATTCCGGTCCGTAGTATCTAATGTTGGTGGAGGAAATGGACGCTGCGTCATTGTCAGTTTCACGACGTCCTCCAGGCACGGGGTCTCGTGGCGTCAGCCCTGGTAGTTCTGACATTTCTGTGGCAGAAGAAAAGACAATCTAAATGGGGGGGATGGGGGAATTGCCGAATTCTGAGTATAGTGCTACAAAATACTAGTAGCAAAACAATAGGGGAGTATTGACGCGTCTCTCAGTTTCGAGTAGGTATCGTCGTATTACGTTCTTAAATACTATTTCTATGTGTACCTTTTCCTGTGCTTCTCAGCAAACTGTTTCAACGAGGCATCCACGCCCTAAATCTGGCCAGAACTACAAATTTAGTCCCCTATGACCAGTTCTGACCCCCCCTTCCCATTTCTGGACTGGCCATGGACTCGTTTTCCGTCCATTCTCAGGGGCCAGAAATGGAGGACTAAACGAACTCGTCTTTGATATCGCAGACAAAATGACCATGTTTAGCCCGTCGCCTCCTTTTCTGCCCAGTCTGCCTTGCTCAGTTGCGTGCTGCAGGTGCATATCCTGCGACGGGAGGCCGTCCGCGGAGACAAGACCACGCTGCCCCGGGTCTACAGAGAGGTCGAGGCCAAAAGTCGGTCTCTCTCAAACGCATCGGCCCCTTGAGACTCTCTCCTGTCCTGTTTTGCGGCCAACCTCTTGTCTACGTTTCTTGTGTGTCCGTTTTTGCAACCCGTGGCAAAGGTATAGAGGGAGGCCGAGGCGCCCAGTATAGTCTGCCCCGACGGCTTCACCGTCCCTAGAGAGAAGCCTGCGTGAAAAGCACCGATAAAAATAAAACAAAAGTGGTGTATGGCTACTGCTCTGGTCGCCGTTGGCCGCTTCCGGGGGCCTAGCGTGCCAGAAGGAAAGAAGTGGGGACAAGGGCGGGCGCTTAATTTCTAGCCTTGTTTTTGCTTTCGACACCGTTAGATCTAGTCAAAGAGAAATGTACATACATCCAGGCGTCCAGTACAATCGAGCCGTAGCTTGGCATTTCGCTTTGGGCTGATGCACAAGGCCGACACAAGATTTCTGCCAGTAATGCCATAATGAGTCGTCGAGAAGGAAGTATAGACTTTAGTCTGATAGCCAATAGAATAGCTCTGGCATATCAACACCACAAGCAATAATCCACCGAACGGGCTTCATGCAGAGTAAGAGAGTAAAGCGACTCGACGTATCTCATTCAAGAGAAAATAGCAAGGACACCTTCCGCGGGGGAGCGGTCGGGGCAGAGGAGTGCCGCATATCCGGCAAGAGGGAGGCATACTCAGCTACACTTGATACCTAAGATGGACACGGACCAATAGGTCGTACAAAAATGCACCTCTCGCTTGGCTCGTCACAATCTTATTTACTAGGTCTTGTGAAAGGTCGAATTTTCAAAATAAGTACTTTGTACTTCTGCAACGATACAAACTGCCTTTGATAATCGCAAGTACAGAGTACAAGCCAGTGGCATCATGACGGCGCCGCTGTTTTCACGGCGACTTTTCTTTGTATTAATAGCCCGTTCCAGAACTCAGGACCCCTAGTCAGAAGAAGCGCGGACACACATCCGTCACAGACGCTATTCATGTCATACGACGTCTCCCTTGCTTCGTACTTATCTACTTTGGGAACTAGGCGACAGCCACGTAAACAACGAAGAAACAGACAACCAATCAGATCCCCATGTCTACCATGACCCCTGACTTTTTTTTTTTTTCCCAGTACAGGGGGGTTGGAGGGGGGGGGGGGGCTGTGGCAGTCGTTTCCGGATCACATCCGTTCAATCGTTCAATTCGAGACCATCTTTTAGGTGCGCATTCGTATACTGAATATCGTAGGTCGTAACATGATGGACCAGGTCGAAACCAGCTGAACGAGGCAAAAAGTGTTGTCCAGGGACTTTACAGCGCAGGTGAAGTGATGAGGAAACGAAGACGGCCCTGTCTGTGCGCCCACCCTCAGCAAAGTGCAGTTTTTACCCCTATTGTGTCGACGAAGCTGCGTGTCCAGGCCACGGTAGGATGACGGAGCAGGAAAATACAAGCAGAGGGGGGACGAGGAAGGGGGGAGAGAGAAATTTTTTTTTCTTGCGGCAAACATCCCGGCCGCGTTGGCTGTTCGACTGGTTGAGAAGAGACGTTGGGAAGGGGCGTGCATAACGTAAACAAGCCATCAAGCAACAGAGCAGGATGAGGTAGCTGGGCAGACATACAGCATACAAAGACCATGAATATTCTTCGGGGCTGCGAGCACTTGAAATTGGTGTAGGCGCAAAGAGTATAAATGCGTCTGGTGCCCCCGAGTGGCCATTGCTTCTTTGATTTGAATCGTCTCCTTTTATTGTTCAACCCTGCAACCGGTGCTTCTTTTACTTTACTATTTTTTGTCTTCTTGGTCAGCCTGCAGAATCTCAAATGCCCTCTACTTTTCTAAACAAGCGGCCTTCAAGAATGGCGGCCTCGCCAAGTTCCACTACAGGGACCGCAAAGCTGGCCACACCGTCACAGCCACGGCCCACCAAGGTAGTTCGAATACTCCCAGCAAACAGGCCGGGAGCTGATCGCGAAAGCGAGTCCTACGATGAGACAGCACGGATCAAGATGGCAGAACCAGGTCGGGGCTATCACCAGGCACCCAACAACCAAGGCGGGTGGACAACATTAAAGGCCGTCCTATTTCCCTGGGGATACGCCTTCCCTGACCCTAACCGCAGCGAAAAATGGCCATGTTCTGTTGCTGGTTGCGGCATCAACGCAAAAAATACAATAGGCCTTGCAAAGCATTGGAGAGTATGACAGTGCTATTCTTATTTGATTTCATGGTGAGGCCACCGCCTCTTTCGGTGTGGATTTCTGACTGATTTTGTTTTCTATCTTTGTAGAGCGCACACAAGCGCATCGCTTTCAGAGACAACGGGGATGGAACCATCACAAACATCGGTTCTTGTGATGTGTCTATGGTCGTTGCACAGGCACCATGCGTAATTGCGGCAAATTCTTCGATGAGATCGGTGAGTAGCATTTTATTTTTTCGTCCTCCCCGTTGGCTTTTTTCGCCATTGGTTCTTCATATTCTTCGTTCTTTCTTCCACAGTTCTTCATTTTTTCGTTCCCTCCTCCACAGTTCTTCATTTTTTCGTTCCCTCCTCCACAGTTCTTCATTTTATTCGTTCCTTCCTCTACATTTCTTCATTTAATTCCTTCCTCTATTGAGTTCTCCTATACCTCCTCGCCGGACTTTGGTATCGGTACGACTCTCCACATAAGCCTACAAGGCACTAATATTCTCGGAAAGGGCAACACAAGTTCTAAGCGTCGAAAAGATGCAGACCAGTCCCAATCAGCTAGGAAACGAACCCGACGTTCTGATAAAGACGTTAATAACCGTGGCAACATTGAACGTACCAACAACGGTGAAGACGATGATGGCAACAATGGTGGGGCAAACGACAGAAGTACAGACGACGGCGGCGATGATGGCGACGATGACGAAGACGACGAAGACGAAGACGAAGCCGAAGCCGAAGACGAAGACGAAGATGAAGACGAATATGAAGACGACGATGAAGACGAAGATGAAGACGAAGAATCTGGAAGGAGTCAGACGCTCAGACAAATACTGGACCGTGAACATGAAGTTCTGTTGAGGCAGGCCAACCCAACAGCCTACTACACTGAGGACATGTTCGAAACGCTATTTGCTGAGTTGAGCAAAAAGCACAAGCAACACGCCCACGTGCACCTGGTCCCGGCCTCTATGTGGCATTCTCTGAGCAGCATGGAATACACCGTTCCGCCGTCTGCCAGGGCCTGCGATTTCCTTGTATTTCCCGTAAACCACAGGTCCCACTGGTCCGTCATTTTTGCGGATCTCCGGGGGAGGCACCTTCCGTGTCCGGCAGAAGGCCCGGGTGCGCTGCCGTTCCTGAGTGCCGTTCTGGATCCATTTGGCCACGAACTCTATGTCGAGGCACATAGGGTTGTCAAATTTCTCAAAAAATATGAGTTTGCGCAACCTGCCCCTGGCCAGACCGAATTGATTTCCAGACTCGACCTGGCCCATGACCTGCCACGCACGCCCCACGACGAGAAGGGCCTCTTTGTCCTACGAGGGCTGGCTTGCTTCCTGCACAACCCGGGGGCTTTTTTTGAGAACGCGATTAAGCGACCTAGCGTATGGGCAGCAGAAGGCATACCCACATCCGAGTCGGCCCACACGTCCCACGACGAGGTTATGCAAACCCTCGAGGCGAAAATGCTCGAGTCGGCAGCCGACCAGTACGTGCGGGACTTTAAGATGTCGACACAGGGCTACTATAAAGCGCTTCGCCGCCTTGTCGGAAAACGCTTCCTCTGTGACGATAGGCATTCCGAGGAGTCCGAAAGCGAGGCGAATGAGCCCTCGGACGAGGCAAATATCGGTACGGAGCGACCGGCTGTTGTCGAACCAGCCAGCACCGAGCCACCCAATCTCGAACCCAACGGCGGCTTGCCGGGTTCTGCGTCTACTGAGCCTGTCGAGCCTGAACCTGCCGAGACTGACGAGCCACCCGCCACTGAGACCCTTTCTCCAGAACCCGAAGAACGGTCCACCATCCATGTGGCTTTTCAACAAGCCCCTAGAAGCCGCAATGTGTCCCTTGCCCGCTCCAAAAACATGGTTCTCAGCAGGGATCCGGAGCCCATTGCGACAATCCCTCGTCCTGAACCAACGACACGCCTCCCTCCCTTTACCCAAGCCGCCGAGGCACAAATGGAGGTCGTCGACAACCGTGATGACGACGACGATCTATACGTGGGCGGAAGGCCGGCGGAATCGAAACCGACAATCACGGGCCAACATGCCTACGATAGGTTCGAGACGAATTTCATCTTCACGCGTCGAGAGACTCCCGGTCCACGAAGCGCATGACGATGTCATACCCTTGTTTGCATACCTTATGAACGTCTGTGGTGTCACATATAGCATCCATTCCTAGGAACTACATACTGAAATGGGGTGGAATGCGCTGCCCTGCCATCTCAACACTCACCTACGAAATGGCGAAGCAGATCTATGGTTAAGGCTAGAGTATCTCGCCATTTTCCTGCAGGATGAAGTCACTTGTAGATGGAAGGACTCGATGACTGTCGGCAGGAGATCCGAACGGAAGCTCCTGTCAACTTACCTCTTTTTTTCTCTGTGTGAAGGTGCTTGAATTTAATCTTTTGTATATCTTTCTTCTTCCCCCATTTCATTTCATCATTTCCTTTTACGCACGGACTTCTGATCAGAAGTCGACGTCCCATAATCGTACAACAAAAAACACGGATCATGTGACAAAAGCTGACTAAAACAAGTCATGTGATCGTTTTTAAATGATCGTCCGCGCGTCAAAAACGTAAGAAAACAAAAATGCATCGCGAGGAATATCGCCAAAATGGCCACCTTTTACAGTAAGTCAAAGAAAATTATTCGTTTACCTGTTATAGACCTTATCCCTTGCCCTTGAAGCTGGCGCGTCTACGGTGATTCAACGGGGTTTACGATTTACACGGGGTCGATCTAAAGGGTCAGCCCCCGTAGGCTGTTAAACCAAGTTGGTAGGTACGATTCGTACCGACCCGTTAGGCCCTAACAGGATGACCCACTTCGAAGCGACCATCTTTCAAAGTGGATCTCCTTCTGTACGACGGGTTAATTAATGCGATGGGGGTAAAGGAACGTGCAGATTATGTATACAGGAGGATTATGGTGATGGATGCGGGCAAAAGTAAACAAAATATGACGAGATTTTAGTTATATGATCCGAGTACGATTATGGTTTATGTAGAAGCCCACCATGTCACGAGACAAGGCGGCTCACCTAATCCTAAGTCTTACATAATACTCTGGGCACTCCGCCCCGACTCAATACTCCTTTGCTCCTTTTACTTCAGCTTTTTTTACCTACCCTCTTTCTTCCATCTCTCAAATTTATTGTCTTTAATTTTCGTTTTCTTCAGTCAGGTCCTGTTTCCTTCCGTCTTGGTTTTTTCTTTACTTGTTGTCGCTATACAGCTATCCACTTAGTTTTCGACGGCTTGGCTTACACGAATGTATGCACTGGTCCTCAAAACGTACACTGTAACACAATGCGGAGTACGACATACATCAGGTCATACAACGTACGGAATACACTGCTTTGCACTCCTCCATTCGTGATTCGAGGTTTCTATAGCAGTTATAAGTATTGCTTTCCATGCGATCCTCAAGTAAACAAAAGCATGTCATGCACGTAGTTTTCATTCTCCCCATGCACTAGGAGCAGTGTTTTTTCATTTCAGCTCCCTCAGGTGGCTTACTGTTTTATTGGTCGAGAACAATCCTACGTTGTTTCAACTTTTTCACTGGCTGGACATGAGCGCTCCGTATGGTCGCGAGGACCAACATGCAGCTGAATCCCACGCCTTGCCAGCCCCGCTCGCTGTTCTTTGTCTGGCGCTTAAGGCTTCAATCTCCCCCTTGCAGCCGGCTTTTTTATAAGCTCTTTGTCTTTCTTCTCCTCTCTCTCACGACGCGCGACTACAACAAACAACCTCCAATACACGTTTTACGACAGTGGTAAACCCGCGAAAGATCGAAAGATGCCGCCATGTCTCGACCAACAACCACCACCGATCTTGTCAAGCGTCTGCAAAGCGAGGTAATAAGCAAAAAGGAGCGAATCGCCCTACAGGCACTCGCCACGGAGATGTTCGAAGTGTTTCGCGAAGAAAAACTTCTGCGCCTGGGACACGAAGCCGCCGCGCTGGCCGTTGTGGCAAGCCCAGAGCGCTACCGGGAGCTGCTCTGGGCATTCGCCAATGCCATCATAGAGGGCACCACCGACGACAATGTGCTGCACCCGGTTCTTTGCAAATCGCTTGTGCACGTCCTGCGATGCTCCATCACGCGCGACACCGCTGACCCGAGCACCAAGGTCGACAGTCGACTTGGCACCGTCCTCAGCAGCCTCAAACGGCGCCTGGAGTCCGCTGTGGCACAAGGTGACCCAAATGCAGAATACCAGTTGGTGTCGACACTGGGCAGCGTGCTGCATGCCATGTACGACGTCCAGATGGTCGGCATTGACCGCGAAACGGTGCAAAAGCCACTTCTGGACACGCTGGACACGCTGAGCAAAGACAGGGAGATCCGCCTTGCGCAGGCCGCAACCTATGCCTACGAAGCGCTCCGATGCCTCCCCGACAGCGAAGGCCCCTACAAGATACTCCTCCTCAAGTTGGTCGACGTCGTTGGTGCCGTGAGCAAGATTGCCGGAGCAGTGGCGACCATGGACGCCTCCAAGCTATTTAACGGCGCTGTGGGCTTGGCCGATGTGCCCGATCTCGTCTCTGCCATGGTGGACGTGGTGAAGTCGATCTCCGAGGCCGTGGGCAGTCTTGATGCCGCCAAGGATGTTGTCAGCAAACAACGCAAGCCCAAGAGCTGGTACGTGGCGCTGCGCTACGGCGACATGCTGATCCAGAACAGGGCCTTTGCAATCCTCAAGTTGTTTTTGGACAAGGTGCCCTGCCGCCAAGACATTGATTTTCTTTGTGGCCTATCTGCCCAGCTGGAGCAAATGTGGGTGCAGGCGGCGGCCGACGATGGTGCCCAAGCACGCGCCACGCGAGATCATGTCCAAGCCGTATTTGCGTCATTGCCGCAGCCGAAGAGCCGCTCGGATCCACTGCACGGTGTCATTGGCGGCGCGTCGGACAACAAAAAGCGGTGGGCCGCGTGGAAAGACGCGGTTGCTCGCACAATGCGTAGCCACACACCGCAGCCGAACAACGACAACAAAACAAAAGACTACGCAGACACGCTTCACTGCTACACCGTCACATTCGGGTCGTTGCCTACCGGTCTCCTCTCAAAAGCATGGCTTCGGTGCACCCAGGCCCAGCGATTTTACGCGGATACACGTCTTCGAAAGCATTACCTTGCTCACGACGAGTACCTTTTAAAAATCGAGCGGTTGTCTGGCGCGTGGTTGCCCATGCAGGACTGCTATATCAATCTGAAAATGATCAAGACGTCCAAGTCCAACACAAGCAACGAGACGGTGCCTCTTCACAGCTTGTTCGACCCTTGCATCTGCAAGGACGGGGTGATGCGTGTGCCTCGTCGCCTTTTGATTTACGGCGCTGCTGGTGTTGGCAAGACGACACTCTGCAAAAAGGTTGTGTACGAGCTCACGCGATCCCCAGTGAGCCCCGAATTTCAATCTTGGACGGCGGCGTACGACAGGGTCATTTGGCTCCCCCTTCGAAATCTAACGAGTCACGACCCTGGCAAGAAGTACACGTTGCTGGATCTCTTTCAGGCGGAATATATGCACGCACTGCAAGACGGTGAAGTCTTCGCACGGGTCCTCCACGATCACTGCACAGCGTCCAGCGACGATGACGCAAAAAGCAGCCGCACGCTGTTTTTACTCGACGGCCTCGACGAGGTGTCACAGTACCTTGACGCCAACCACCGGGCAGCCAAGTTTCTCCTTTCCTTGCTCAGCCAGCCGGATGTCATCATCACGTCCAGACCAGGTGTACGCATTCCCAACCGAATGCGTATACCACCATTGGACTGCGAGCTGGAGACGACGGGGTTCAATGATTACCAAGTACAGCAGTACGTGCGCCATTCTCTCAGCGACAGGCAGCGTGTAGAAGCGTTTCTGCGGTTCCTGCACCGCCACAGGCTCTTGTCGGAGCTCGTCAAGATCCCACTGCTGCTGGACGCACTGTGTTACATCTGGCAAGACAACAACCCCAACGACAACCCCAACGACAACCCCGACGACGATAACCCCGACAACGACAACCACGCCACCGAAGCAGCGCAGTCCATCAAAACGGCCACGGCCATCTACCGGGCCATTGAAGACAAGCTGTGGTGCAAGGACATTCCCCGTCTCGAGAAGTACGGCCCCCGTGGCCGTATCACCGAAGACATGGTACGTGGTCTCCGGATACGGGAGCAAATCCGCGAGCTGGTCCACGTCGAAGCCGCGTTTCTGCAACAGATGGCCTTTTCGGGGCTGGTCAGCGAGACCGTCTACTTTAACGAGCGCCACTGCGACAACGTGCTGCGACACATGGACGCGCCGTGCCTTTCTGGATCCGTAGACGATGTGCTGCTCCACGTGTCGTGTCTGCGCACCCTGCAGCCGTCCATCGCATCGCTGGATTCGATGGCCACCACGGACCGCCACCGGACATACCACTTTGTGCACTCTACGTTCCAGGAGTATTTTGCGGCACAGTACTTTGTCGGCTGCTGGACAGCTGGCACGGCGCTTGCTTTCGTTGTCTCAAAGGATAGTGCAAGGCACGTCATGGGCACGGACCGGTTTCTTGCCGCCCACAAGTACGACGCTCGCTACAGCCGATTTTGGCGCTTCGTGGCCGGCTTGCTCCACAACGAGACCGACGCCCCCGACACGGCCAGTCTAGGGCGTTTCTTTGACGCCCTGGAGAGCGAGCCACGCGACATTGTGGGCCACGAGCACCAGGCGCTGGTGGTGCAGTGTCTGGTCGAGGCCGACCCAGCCCAGGACATGGCCCTCTTTGACGCGCACCGCAGCCGCTTGAAGGAGTGGGTAGCGTACGACTTTGATCAGTGGCAGACACTCCGGGTGCTGTCACTCTTCTCGTTTCCCGAGCTTATATCTGGTCCCATTGTGCAGGACGAGACGGGGACCATTACCCTGAGCGAGACAAGGACGTTGGAGCTGCTGCAGAGCAATTTTCTACGGGAAGTGCCCCCGGACCTGTGCATCATTGACGCGTCGGGGCGCATGCCACTCGCTACCTGCAAGCTACTGCGAAAGCAGCCGTTTCTTCCAGTCCATGTTCTCCAGGCCATCACATACCGTCTTCGCCACTCTCCAATCGACCGATCACACCATTCTCTCGACGTACTGGGCCAGCATCTCGGTGACGCGCTGCCGTTGATCCTCGATTGTCTCAGACACACGACGGGCTTTGTGCGGGCCAATGCCGCCACCGCCTTTGCCGGGATCGCGTGTGACAGAGCGGCTCTCCCGCCCGAGGCCGTTGCGGCGCTGGTTCGTTGTTGCACCAGCGATGTGTTTGAGGGTGCGGCATGCAATGCCATGGTCGCATTGTGCAACGTGCGGCCCTTTCCCCAAGACGCCATTGTCGTCATCTGCGACAAGCTGCACGACGAAAAAGACAGTGTCCGCCGAGCCGCTGCAGAGGCCGTGAGGCAAGCGCGAAGGCTCCCTGTAGAAATATTCCTGGAAATTACCGGCCGGCTTCTGGATCCAGCGCCCGACGTCCGGTCGGCGGCAGTAAAAGTGTTTGGAGCAAGACTAGAAGCGCTGCCCGATGCCGTTTTGGCTCGCCTGGCCCAATTTCTCGGCTCGTCGTCCAACGCAGAAAAAGCGGCGGCAATCCACATCTTGGGCAGAACGCCGGACAACGCGTGGAGAATGGAGCGAATACGTAGCCTGCGCAAGGGCGAGGCCAGGAACACACAGCATCCTGTTTTTGAGGCGCTGATCGAATTGCTGCACAACGGTCCAACGCCCACAATCCGTGGCGTTGCCGCATTGGCGTTTCGACTGACAGACGGGCCTCTCCCCGCACACATATACCAACAGCTTGCTGTCGGTCTTGCGGACCAGGACTTTGGTGTCCGCGGCTATACGGCCGTGGCTCTATGTTACCATACAACACCTCTCTTTCCTGCCGTGGACGATATTGTCCTTGGTATATTATCACAGGCCGAAAACTTTGACAACAAGCTTACGCAGCGTGTGTTTAATATCCTTCCCACAACCTTGCCTCTGTCTCCAGCGACAATGGACGTCCTGGACCAGAAACTGTGGGATTCCACAACGGCGCGTTGCATACGGACATGGATACTCGCCGTATTTCAGGTTCAAGCTGGCCGTCTTTCTGAGCCCACCTTGCAGACTCTAGCAACACCCAAACAAATACAAACGCTAATTAAACTCCAAAACATTCAAATTCATACAGCACGCCACCAGGTGGCCGAAGTCAACTTTGCAACCCTGCGACAGATTACGGAGATCTTTGGCGCACGGCAGTCATTGCCAGAGAGCGTCTTGTCGAGTCTACTGGAGCAGCTTCCTTCTAGCAACGGCGACGGCAGCCTTGAAGTATTCTCGGTGGCATTCATAACTGCCCTATCGCACCGCGAATTGGTCTCTCGGCCCGTCCTAACGAGCATCTTGTCGTGCCTGACGAGTTCTGTTACGGAAACGCGTAACAAGGCGGAATCGACACTTTATCGCAAGTCGACCTTGCCGCTGGACATTCTCCTGCCGCTGCTGCAACATACCGTACGAGCCAAACGCGCTGTGAAATTCAACGAGCGCGCGAAACGGATTTTTGAGCACATGGTGGCCCGTCCTGACGCGGAACTTGCCAGCCTGCTTCAATCAAACAATGGAAACGCCCGTCTTCTGTTTGATAGTTGTCTGTGCATGGCAAACCACCAGCCCGTTCTATGCTATGCGGATGGAGACACACATTATGCATTTGTTGTCGGTGGACACAAACGACGCGTGCCAAAAGCGTACTTTCCAGCCGACCCGGAAGACATCCTGAGAGAGCTGGGTGTTCCGGCGGGTCGACACCGGGTATGGGACGAAATCGCAGAAGAGAGTGCGCAGGGAGGCAAAGGCGAGGATGGGGAGAAGGGTGATGAGAATGATGATGGCAAGTACCGGTCGGGTTACATTTTTGTTACTTTTACTGTTATCATCCTCTGGGCATCGTTTTATGTTTCGTTTTTATAAGATGGACGGAACGTACCGCTGACATGAAGTATATCCAAATTGCTCGTAGGAGTTTTCCAGCCAATGTCAGATTTGGTTGCTGCTGCCGTGAAGGAATAGACAGACATCGTCGTCTTCCAGCCGCGACTCGAGTTCATTTCCAACCACTCAGCTCTCAATGCCATCTTTCATGAATCAAGGCACGCTTTAAAAAGTATTTTCCATTGTTACAAGGATGTAGCCGTGCCATAATACGCCCAATGCCCTAAACGTAGCATTATACTTTTTTTGTTTTTCCTTCGCCCGTAAGACTTTTACCGCACCGTCGCGCCCTTGAGCGACTTGACCGTGCACACTCCGCCGCTCTCCGTCACCAGCTTGCCCACACCCTCCTTGCCGAGCTCCTTGACCACGCCCGCGTCAAAGCCAACCTCGAGGTCGTCCGTGGTCGTAAAGCCGGGCTGGAACATCTCCCACACCTTCTTCTTGGGGTTCAGCTGGCCCTCCGGCTCGCCCTTCCAGCCCTCAAAGAAGACCTTGGTGCCGGCGGGGGCACCGGCCGGCGGGTTGACGAGCTCGACCGGGCCGCCGTGGTGGTCCTCCTCGCCCTCCTTGAGGCGCGGCGACGCGGCCAGGACCATGGCGGCCGACTTGATGCCGCGCATCTTGACGGGCTTGAGGTTGCAGACGACGACGACCCGGCGGCCCTGCATCTCCTCGAGGGGCACAAGGCCGTTGAGACCGGAGCAGACGGTGCGCACGACCTGGCCCTCGTACTCCTCGGTGTCCGTGGTGCCCTTGGCGTCGCCCATGGCAATGGTGGAAACGTAGAGCGAGTCGGCTTCGGGGTGCTTGACGGCCTTGAGGATGTGGCCGACGCGGAGGTCAATCAGAGACGGCGAGGGCGGCGCCGGCGGTGGCGGCGCCGCCTTGGGTGGGCGGGCCTGCTTCTCCTTCTTTTCCTTTTTCTTGGTCGGGAGGCCCTCGGCGGCGGCACCAGCAGCGGCACCAGCAGCAGCACCTGCTGCGCCACCTGCTGCAGCCTCACCCTCTGCGGCAGGCTTCTTGTCCTGCTTCTTTGTCCGGTCGGCCAGCTGCTTCTCCTCGCCTGCTGGTGCAGCAGCGGCGGCGGCGGCGGCCTTCTCCTTCTTCAGGCGCTCCTTCTCGGCCTTGGAATCGACTGCCGGTGCCACGTACAGAACCTCCTCAGCGTCAATGGCGACCTTGTCGGCGTCGGCGACCGTCACGCCGAACAAGGCGGGGCTGTTCTGCACAAAGTCGACGAGGCGCACAATGTTGGGCAGGCCCTCCTTGCCGGTGCGCTGCTCGGGCGTCCACGCCTTGACGACGGGCGCCAGGGACTCGTAGACGGCAACATCGGCCTTGGACGGCTTGGAGCCGAGGACGGTAGTGCGGGTGGCCAGGAGGGTGTTGAGCTCGGCGAGGACGGACGGCGTCGAGGCGGCCGAGGCGGCGGTGTCAACCCACTTCTGGATCTCGGTCTCCTCGGCGGGGGTGTAGGTCTGGGAGGCAATGGCCGCCATGATTGGAGATGTGGAGGCGACGGTGGAGGAGAAGAGTGTCGTGGACGTAGAGAAGAAGGATGCTTGTTGTTTTTGTTGTTTCGGAATAAATCGAGGCCGCAGGAACGAAAAAGTCGTTGGAGCGGGCGCAAGAAACCGGGGAGGGCTTCGAAGCGCAAAGGGGCGGAAGATGCGTAGGAGGGACAGTTTGGCGGTTGGTGAGCTGTTGCGGTCAGCACAGTTGTCACACGAGGTTCGTGAGGTTATCCGAAGGACATACGTTGAGATTCGACAACAGTGTGACAAAACGGGCGGGAAACTTTTTCTAGCGCTAGAATGCCCCGCATTGGGAGCTTTGCTTCACTACGCCTGCCTTCAGGACAGAGGGGCAACACTAAACTGGCTTACATAACACGGCCAGGCTCCGTCCCATTTATCTGTCCCTGGCTAGCGCGTGACACCGCGAAAGTCTGGCGCGTTTGTCCTGGCGTCCAGGTGGGTCTTCACGGCTCCTGCCCCTGCTACAGTTTAATTGAAACCGGCAATGATCGGGGAAAGTACGCGTGACGCGCCTTCCTTTTCCCTGGTGCACTCAGCTCGACATCGCCACTGCGGATTGCGCCCTTTTTTGGCTTCATCCCTTCCTCGACGAGTATTGACTTCGGATTGATTGGAAGACAGCTATTTTGTCTCGTTGTCGCATAGAATTTCGTCTTTTTTTGGCATATCCTTAATATTCTCATCCCGGGCTCTCTTTTCACATTCACTTCAGATTTCTCTCAGATTGCTTTTGAATTGCGTGTTTCACGGGCGTTCACGTCTCGGCAGTTCTCTGTTCTGCCCCTTTTACTTTTCACACACCGTTCTCTTCTCGCCTTCGCATCCATCTCCAAACCATGGCCCGTCATCTCAGCTCTCCATCCGACGTTGGGACCGATTGTTCAAGCCCTGCCAACGTCATGACAAGCCCACCGTCATCACCTCCGGCCCACGAGCCGGTCAAGACCGAGACCGACGACGCCACCGAAATCACAGAAGCTTCGACCGCGACCCTCGCCGACATCTCTTCGGAAGACCAAGCTCTGATCGAGGCCGAGGAGCGCCGCGCTCGCAAGGCCAATGCCGTCGAAGAAGAACGTCGCTTGGCCGCCGCGCGGCGCAAGAACAAGAAAAAGGCCAACAACAAGGCCGAGCGGGAGGCCAAGGGCCGCGAATTGGACGAGCTTCTTAAGCAGAGCGCGGCCTTTAGCGACATCCTGACCAAAAAGACACAGGTACTGGGCCGCGTCGGGTCCGGGTTCGACGGTCAGACGCTCGGCGAGCACGACCTACAGATGGCGACGCAGCCGAAGTGCCTGGTGGGCGGCACGATGCGGGACTACCAGCTTGAGGGCCTGACGTGGATGCTCGAGATCTGCCTGCAGAACATGAGCGGTATCCTGGCCGATGAGATGGGCTTGGGCAAGACGGTGCAGACGATCTCGCTCATTGCCTTGTTGAGGGAGCAAGAAAACTACCTGGGCCCGCACCTGATTGTGGCACCGCTGAGCACCCTGAACAACTGGATCAACGAGTTTCAGCACTGGACGCCCTCGATCCCCGTCGTCATGTACCACGGGACACCGCAGCAGCGCAAGGACTTGTTCACGAATCGGATCCAGAAGCACCTGTCCAAGGGCCGGCCGACGGACCAGTTCCCCGTTGTCTGCACGAGCTACGAAATCATCTTGCGCGACCGCGCCGATCTCTCGAAAATCAACTGGGAGTTTATCATCATCGACGAGGGCCACCGCATGAAGAACTTTGACTCGAAGCTGTTCCGTGAACTGCAGTCGTTCCGGTCGGCGACGCGGTTTCTGATCACAGGCACGCCCCTGCAGAACAACCTGAAGGAGCTGTGGTCGCTGCTCAATTTTTTGATGCCCAAGATCTTCACGGACTGGGAGGCGTTCAGTAGCTGGTTCGACTTTAGCGAGCTGCAGGACGAGGACACGACGGCCGAGTTCATCGAGGACCGCATGAAGCAGGACCTGGTGAAGAAGATTCACATGGTGCTGCAGCCCCTGCTGCTGCGGCGTGTCAAGGCAGACGTGGCCAGCTACCTGCCCAAGAAGCGAGAGTACATTCTGTATGCGCCCATGACCAAGGAGCAGACGGGACTCTACAACGCCATCAGCGACAAGACTGTCGACACGCGCGCCTACCTGGAGAACAAGGTGGCCGAGCATCTGACGGAAGAGGCTGCCAGCCGTACGCCGCCACCGTCATCCAGGCCATCGCGGTCGTCCCGCTCGAGTCGGGCAAGCACAGTTGTTGCTGTCAAGGAAGAGGAGACGGGAGAAGAAGAGGAAGCAAAGCCCTCCAAGGGGCGGACCAAGTCGTCTCGCTTCAAAGCACCACAAGCCAAGGTGGAGTTGATTTCGGTCCCCATTCGGAGCAGCCCGCGTGCTAAGAAGACGGTGGAGACGCCGCCGGCTCCCGCAATCAAGGCGAAAAACGCGTTTGCCGTGCTGATGGGCAAGTCAAAGACGAATGTTTCTGCTGCTGCTGCCGCTGTCCCGGTCGCATCGATCGAGACCGCACCCCCGGCGGCCACCAAAAGGATGACCACGAACAAACGCAAGACGTTGCCAACCACGGAAGAGCCTGCCTCAAAGAGCGCCAAGTCAAGCCGCCACTCGACGCCCGGCAGCAGCTTCACGGCAGCCAGCGACGTCTCCGCCAGGGACCTGTCTCGCACCAGGACACGACGCCGGCGCACCTACCACGAGGCTGACGCCTCGGACGAGGACAAGATGTCCGACGATGAATTTGAGGCCGCTTTGCGCGACGAATATGCTGCCGCGGAGGAAGACGAAGGCAACGAGTCAGGCCTCTCTGGTCTCTCCGGCGAAGAAATCCAGCGTGTGCAGACGCTCGAGCTGGCCAAGCGCGAGATCGCCAACAAGAAGCTCGGCAACCCACTGATGCAGCTGCGGCTCGTCTGCAACAGCCCGCACAATTTCTACAACCCATGGTCATGGTCGTCTGAGAGCGGTGCCGACCGCCCCATCGACGAGTCCATTGTCACCTCGTCGGGCAAAATGCTCTTGCTTGATCGCCTGCTGCCCTCGCTCTTCCGCCGCGGCCACAAGGTCTTGATCTTTTCACAGTTCAAGACCCAGCTCGACCTGTTGGAGGCGTACTGTGCCGAGCTGCGCCGGTGGAAGGTCTGCCGCATTGACGGTTCCGTCGCCCATGCCGACCGCCAGGCCCAGATCGACCTGTTCAACCGCAGCCCGCGGTACAAGCTGTTCTTGCTGTCGACGCGCGCCGGCGGCCAGGGCATCAACCTGGCCAGTGCGGACACGGTCATTCTGTTTGACAGCGACTGGAACCCGCAGCAGGACCTGCAGGCGCAGGACCGCGCGCACCGCATCGGCCAGACACGGCCCGTGGTCGTGTACCGGCTGGCAACCAAGGGCACGGTCGAAGAGGACTTGCTGATGAGCGCGGACGCCAAGCGGCGGCTCGAGAAGCTGGTCATTAAAAAGGGCGGGTTCCGCACCATGGACCAGAAGCTCAAGCCAACAATGGCTGTTGGTGCGTCGGGTGACGACGGTGCCGAAGAGGGCGAGGGCAACGACCTCGACGCGGACACACTACGGTCGCTTCTCCTCAAGGACGGCCAGGTGTACACGGTGTCGGGCGACAGCGACGTCGTCCTGAGCGACCACGACCTGGACGTGCTGTGCGACCGCAGCGACGAGGCCTATGCACAGGCCGCCAGCGGACAGGGCGACGCAGCGGCGTTCAAGGTCATTGAGACAGGCGTGAACGGCATTACTGAATCGTTTAAAACGGCGGCCAAGTAGCGTCGAAGCAAGCCATGCAGCGTATCTTTCACGAGACCATGCCAGTACATTACATCCGTGCACTGTTATTACATTTGTCTGCAATGAAACCTAGTAATTGAAATGGGGAAATGAAATATATTACAAGTGATCAATCTGTATTCAAAATATGGACATGCCAGCCGTGCACTATTTGCGGGCGGCAGGCGTGGGTGCAGCATCGGCGTCGTTCTCGGCGGCGCCAGCATCGTCGGCGGGCGGAGCAGCCTCTTCAGCGGCAGGCGCGGTGGCGTCGTCTGTGGATTCATCCGCAGGCACCTCGGCCGGGTCCGGAGCCGAGTCATCGACCGGCGTGTCGGCAGGGACGTTGGCCGGGTCGTTGGCAGGGACGGTATTGTCGGCCGAGTCGTCGCCGCCATCAGCGCCATTGGGATCCGTAAAGTCGTTGCCGTCATATCCGTTGGAGCCGTCGTCGCCGTCGTCACCAGAGTTGGTGTCTGGGGCATCGGCGAAGCCGCCGGGATTGCCGAAATTGCCTGGATTGCCTGGATATCCTGGATTGCCAAAGTTGGCACCGGCGGCACCTCCAACCGCGCCACCGACGGCACCCCCGGCCACGGCACCGCCAACGCCGCTACCGCCACGATGGCGACCGTCGCCGTTGCCGCCATTGCCGTTGCCGCCTCGGTTCCCACCGTTGCCGCGCTGGCCGCGGTTGCCGCCTCCGTTTCCGTTTCCATTCCCACCTCGGTTGCCGCCGCTGCCTCCGCGGTTGCCGCCGTTTCCGCCACGCCCACCACCGTTACCACCACGGCCTCCTCCACCATTGCCGCCACGACCACCGCCACCACCTCCGCCTCCGCGGCCTCCACCGCCACCTCCGTGACCGCCGCCGCCACCGCCGCCGCGCTGGCGAGTTTCAAGAACCGGGGATGAGAGAGAAAGAGCGTTTGTGGTGGCAACAGGCGCCGCCACGATGCCCTGCAGGGCCGAGGCCGCGGCCAGGAGGGTGATGAGGAAGTTCTTCATTGTGTTCTCTGCCGAGGTGGATGATGTAGTCAGATTGCCAAAGAGTGCAGTGTGCCTGTAGAAGGGGGCGTACAACAAGAGGTGGCAAGGAGCGGTACCAGAAGCTGTTAAGCCTCCTTATTGTACGAGACGACCGACTTGTAAGCAGATATTTATATGTAGACACGCTCTCACATTGTGGTATCGTCATTTTGGCTGTTTGTGGTGGACTGCGCCTGTCCCAGAGTCCAGGCTGTTTATTTTTGGCTCGGGTGTAATGTGAGTTGACATTGTTGCCCTGCTAATATCATGCCGCGTGTTGCGTGTCTGGAATCTCTTTTTCTCCGAACTTGGACTAGAACACCAGTATCCAATTATTTCTACAGAGCGCAATGACCGAAGGAGGGGTAAATAACTTCCTGATAGTTATTAATGAAGAAAGGCCATCGTAGGTAGACCAAGAGTGCGTCATGGTATCCGATCAACGATGTAAAAACACAATCATTTCGCTAGGGTAATGTTCTGAGGCGCGGAGCTCTGGGTGGATTCAATATATCCATTCCCGATGTCCGAGGGCGCAAGCAATTGCATTCCCTTGTCCCGTGTGGAAAGTCTACGCGTGTTCCGGCGGTTCTTCCTCTTCCAGTCTCTGACTCTGGAGCTCAATGTCGACAAGCCATAATGAAAGGGCCCAAATGACTAGGGGCATCATGAAGAAGAAATATTATTTTGAACCGGCTGCCAAGGATTGTGACGGCCAAAGATAGATTCACTGGTATTCACATCTGTCGAGTCTAGACTCCTGCCGGCCAGCACGGTTGCCGACGAAATAGAGTTGATGTGCTTCATATTCCCGGTAGGCGATATATCGTCTCGTTTTTTATTTTGAACACATGGCTCTTAATTCATGGCGTTATTGCCCGTCCTATATTATAGTCCGTTTTGCCGTCTTCCCCTTGTCTCTCCGCAATGTCCGAACGGCAAGAACAAACCTTATTTTAACCATATACGAAAAAGTCTTCACGCCAAGAATTCGCTATTATACGGCCATATTCGTAATGATGCTCACGAATGGTCGTGTAGCAACTCGTCATATGTGTCGTGATGGACGCCTTGGTAATGACACTTCTCTTCGGTAATTCGTTGTCGTGAGTCTGGCAGATATCGCCGCACAAAAATTAGTTAGCCGTATTTTTATGCAACAGCCTCTTACTTTATCTACGCTTTTACCTGAATTTTTATCAAATGTTTATTTTTTTTTTTTTTTTAAAAAAAGGAATGCGTACAAAAAACAAAACAAAACCTATCCAACAAGAAAACACACATGAAGCGTTTATTCCACAAAATATCCTCAACTACGACATACAAGCAGTCCCCTTAAAATAATATGCTTTGTCAGGAACCCAGTTACCCGTCTTTAACTTGCATTGTTTTTCCTTGACAGCACGTGGCTTCGGCTAAAAAGTACCGCCTTTGCCTCCAAATGGATAAAACACACGAATGATGCCTGCAGAGCGGGCGTTGGCGTCGTTCATCACAATCGACAAATGCACAAGTACAAACCCGGACCCCGGCCTCTCGTCTGCACGGTTCTAGTCGGACAAATGGCATTGTCCAGCGAGTTGCCGTAGAAATGCAAAAAGAAAAAAAGAAGAAAGGACAGAACATTTTGAAGCCTGAGACCCAATTAGTCCCGCATCGTCCCGCCACCGGCGCCGTGGTTGATCATTCTCCCTGTGCCGGGGGCAAGTCCTAGTTTCCCAACCGTTCTAGTGGATAACCCGATTCACCCACCGACCTGGCAGTCGGTGTGAAAGAAGGAAAGCGGTGGCCAGGAATGTGCCATTGTAATTACGCCATGGGACAGCACACTATTGATTGACGGGGGACACTGCATTCGGAACGAGGCTCAAAATCGCACGCCCACTGCCTTTCCAGCAATTTCTGTATATCTCCCATTATTTCTCCGTCCAGATGCAAGGCTGCTGGCCCGCGGGAGCGAATGGCAGACGGCGGACGGATGCAAATGCACATGCAAATGCACAGCATGACAAGGGGTGGCACAGCGTGGGAGCCCGGCGCCGTGCTACTGGTGGAAGAGGCTGGCGTTTTGTGGCGTCAAGCCCCGTCTCGCGTCGTCGTCCGCCGCATCCTGTATCGTTTTCTCCATTGTTGTCGTGGCCTCGTCCCACGTTTGACAGGACGTGGGGGCGGGTGCATAAACTGGGGAGAGCACATGGAAGGCATGCTGTTGTGGCGTTCACGATTCTGCATCAAAACATCGTTTGGCGTCGGTGTCGATGTTGGGTTTAACGGAAGTCGGCCGGCTCATCGGGTGCAGTAACTTCATGTCAGATGCGCTGTACGCACCGCCAAAAACCAGTCGGTTGGGCGCGTGTGTTGGATTGCTCTGTGGTCTCTCCGTTGATTGGCATGATCAAGGGTTGTCATACAACGAACAATCATGGCAAATAGCAGACATGCATAAAGGGAAGATGCTGATGTTCTTCACGGCCTTTGACATACGTCATTCTACCTACCATCGGTCGCGTAGAAGGAAGTACGGAGACAGTTCAAGGATAGGTTGGACGATCGACCAACGAGGCCCGCATTCGCCTTGTGGAGGTATCATGTACGGTCGCAACCCCAGGAGACTGGCTCTCTGTGACAGCGAGGGAAAGGCAGAAGCAGAAGATGGTACGAAATACAATGATGGAATAGAGGCACAGAGGGGTACGTAACATACTGAGATATTGAGATCAACAGAGATTGATACACCGTGGGTGATGGACAAACGCCGTTGGATGACTTGGTGAAGACCATGGATGAGGATTGGTTTCGACACATAATGTACGTGAAGACGCTGCCCAATGATGGACGGGGGCTCGGAGGCTGCAAGGCCCTGCAATGATGATAGACATGGATGGTGAGAGGAGGGTGAGAGAGATGGGGACCGTCAAGGACCGTGATGGGTCAGATGGATAACGGTGGGCTGCCAGGGTCGAATCGAAGTGATGAAGAAGGAGGAAAGGAAAAGGAATGGGGGGCAGGAAAATCAGATCCAGGAAAGGATCATCAAGACCGGGCGTTTTTGTCGTCTTTGGTTCCACGGTTTGGGTGTCGTTTAAGGCGGGACGTTTCCGGAACATTTGGATCAGGGCACAGACTCACGGGAGTTTTGCAGTGTGTCGGTTTCGATTATTTTTTGCGTGATACTTGACGCGATGATATTGACGCGATATGTTTGGTAATTGAATCCTGAATTTTGTCATGACAAGAATGGGCTGGAGACTGTATTGTTACTAACTGAACATACGGAAATGAGGCAAGCTTTTTTCAATAGCTTGAAATAGAAAAGGACAGGACAATAACGACAAATAACGAGACAGCATGTATGCGTACTGAGCACAAAATGCCAAAATGCTCGACCAAAACGTATCGCAGCGCACTCTTAAGTTGGAATATGTCTGGCTGCCCACGTGCTTGATTCCTGTGTTTTGTTTTGTGCCCTGAATCAAAGGACCAGGGGATGGAAGCGACCCAATTGGGAGACATTTTAGGCCAGTGGCCCCTGTCAGGGCCCACTTCGACACAAACCCACTAATTTAGCACTTGTGAGGGACCCTTGTCAACGACAACGACCTTTTCGTCGACGACCTTCTTTTCAACGCAACGACAACCCCTGCCTGGAAATCCACTGAGCTCCCGCACGGACAGAAAAGGCCTCGGCTTTGCAAATATTGTGCAATGCAGGCATTGTGAAGCGATCTGGGGCGAGGTTGCGCAAATGGCTCGCCGTAGGAATTCCACGCCATAGTACATATTCGGGGAGAAGTTTGTCATTTACGACGTACAGTTTGCGGACTCCTCCCATGTCAAGCACTTACGGACGAATACCGTCGCAGTTGGTCGAGCCCGGAGATCACGTCGACGCGTCGGCTTCTTCTCGAAAATAGAAATAGGAGCTGCAAGTTAAGAGCAAATATGTCGGATGTCATTATGGAGTACAGCATACTAAGTGGGCAAAGGTATATTTAGACGAAAGGCACCATTAAGTGTCTCACGGACGTGCTGTGTAATTACTGTACGGCTTACATCGTAGGCTATCGGGAGACTTGAGGAGGTCATGGCACAGACAGTCGAAATGGCACCGAAGCCGGTCCGCTGGTCGCCAACGCCATTCTTCTTAGTTTCAACGGCGCTCTTACCAGAAACGGGTGACGTTGAGTTGACACGAGGCGAGACCAACATGGACTTTGAGACAGAAGAGAGGCAGATGTGGCCGCCGAGATGCTGGAGAAGAGCACGTGTGATGTTTTAAACATGCATATTCTGTACAACGAGTGTCGCCCACAGAGATTTCTGCAACATCTTACCATCATTGTCTTGGAGTGTCTCTCTCGTGCCTCATTCCAAAACCAGAGGTCTCATCGCTACCGTCATTCGAACGAGGGGACCCCTGTCTATCGATGGTTGTGTGGTCGACGTCGAGGTGGCAGGGTGGGTGGCGTCCCGCGGTTGACTCTGTTACCCACACTTTTGTGCTCGGGACAATACCATTCCTGATTTGTCCACCGACCCGATGCTGGGCACCGTGTTGAGACATTCACTTTTGAATTCAACGCAGAGGTGTAAGAAGAAACTGCTGCAAAGCCAGGAACAACCTTCCTTTCTTGACTGTTTTATTACTTATTTTCGCTTCTCTTTCTGTTTTGTCTCCTTCTCCGTATGGAGAACGGAGGACTCCGTACAAAACGAATCCACTTTCAATGTTCCACCTCGCGGATGCATTGAATATGTTTTCTTTTTCTCAGACAGCCACTTCTTCGCATGTGTTCCTCCCCCCACCCCTCGCCGTGTTTGTGCCATGCCCAGCCAGTCAAGACAGAAAACGGTGACCGACCTGTGATGAGGCCTGTGACGGGTGGCAAACAAGAGCCGAGTTGTGCTGAGCCCGACAAAGGAAGAAGGAAGAAGAAAATAAAATAAAAGAAAATGAGGCAAATAAAAAAGAAAAAGTAAAAGAAATACTCGCACAAGCCGGGGAGTCCATCCAACTCACAATCGGACAGAAATGAAGCACCCTCCTGTGGCATCGTGCTTGTTGAGTTCTTACATCGTACGTCCCGAGAGCTGCAGGAGTCTTCCGGCCCAGTCACGTCTTGTTCGCGGACGCTCCATGCAAGCCAAGGCTCACGGTGCGTCGTATCTCTCCCCCGTGTTGTCTGGATGCACAATGCAAATAGTGTGGATGGGTGGGGGGTCAAAGGAGAAACACATTCCCAAAAGGCATTGTTTCCTGTGGCAGCTCGAACGGGGCAGTGAGGCACTAGCTTCCATGCATGATCCTATGCCATCCACCACTCTCACGAAAGAAGCTCATTGTTGTCTTGGCTGGCTGGCTCGCCGGGCATCGTCGTTTGGTTTCTTTTTCTGGATTCCCACCGTCTCCTTCGTCTTGGTTCCCGCCCCTCTGGGATCCGCTTCTTAATGGCGAGGGGCACGAAGCCAACAGGAGAGGGTGTAGGGCACATGTCCCAGAGACAGGTACCAGTGACCGTTGACGACCGACCGATTTTAGCTCGCGCGGAACGACGCCAATGGCGAATGTATCTTTACGGTTCCTGGCTGCCATGCGAGAACCTGGACCGGTGTGGACGTTGGTTCGTCTTTTTGGTGTTTATCATTTCATCTCTTTTCTTGTCTTGTTCGATAGTTTCGTTTTTTTTCCTTTCCCCAGTCTAATATCTCAACCTCTCTTTTCTTGTTTATTTTATATTCCTTTTTTTGATTTGGTCTGTTCCATTGTCTTCCTTTGCTGTCTCTTGTTTCCACTGGACACCGTCATACATAACCTGTGACAAACGCACCTCTTGCATCCTTCACACCCTCCTTCTCTCGACACATTGACCCAACAACCGTTTCTGCAGCTTTCCGTCTTTTTGTCCGTTCGCCTTATCTGCCTGCATCTGCCTGCGATCGCCATACTACCTGCCGAATTTTCTCGTCTGTGCTCACTCTCCGGCCCATTATCACAACCAACTGCACGTCGCACACCTTAACTCACGTCGCACACCTTAACTCACGTCGCACACCTTAATTCGACTCGCCGGCCCCACCATGGGTGTCGACGCCGAGGAACTAATTGTCCGGCCGTTTCGCGAGGTCGTCGAGCGCGGCAACGAGGCGATCCAGAATGCCGAGGCCGGCGAGGCGGACGATGCCAGCAGCGTCGACGGCAGCGTGCTGGCCGACATGGCCAAGGCGGGCCGCGCCGTCGTCCGCGAAGGCGAGCGCGCGCTCAAGCGGCTGCAGCCGGTGTGGGACGGCCAGGTGGAAAAGTACGGCGACGCCTTCAAGGACGCGATGCTGCAGCAGGACGACATTGAGCGGCGGCGGCGGGAGCTGGAGGACCTACTGTACGACTTTGAGGACTACACGGAGCCGCGGTCGTTTGACGCCGCCAAATTCGTCGAGCTGCAGGCGGCCACGCGGTCGTTTGCGCTGGACGTGATCAACCACACGAAGCGCCTGAAGCTGGAGTCGCCCAAGCGGGCGTCGACGGCGGCGCAGCTGGCGGCCATTGCGGGCGGCGGCGGGTCCGCGGCACGTGGGACGGCCTCCCCCTTGTCCACGCCCACGACGGCCACCAAGAGCAGCTTCCCGCCCCTGCCGCCGCTGCCCCCGTCCATGGCCGGCATCCCTCCGCTGCCGCCGATGCCGAACCTGGCCTCCCTGCCCCCGATCAACGTCAACGAGCGCCGGTCACGGGCGTCCCTGCTCAAGAACGGCGGCGGTGGCGCTACAGCATCTCTGCCGCGGCTCGCCTCGCTGACGTCCCACCCACACACGGCGCGGCCCGACTCAATGGACGACGGCGACGACCAGCTGTTCGAAGCCTCGACGCCGACGTCCTCGGTGGCCCCCTCGACGGCGCCGTCGTCGAGCCGTGCGTCACTCGCCCACAGCAGCCTGCGCCGCGCCAACACCAAGAGCTCGGTGGCGACCAGCATGTCGGGCGCGTCCACGCGGGGGGGCATGCTGTTTGACCACGCCGAGCGCTACCAGCTGTACGACCATCCCGAGGGCCAGGGCCAGGGCCAGGACGAGCGGGGACACGACGACAGCGAGAGCGTGGCCCCGGGCGGCGGCAAGCGGTCGACGCCGCCGCCGCCGTCGATTCCCCGCACGTCGGCATGGGTGAGGAGCCATCAGCAACATCTTCAACAACTACAGCAGCAGCAGGCACAGACACAGACACCAAGCCAGCGCCTGCGCGCCAGGGCGTCCCGCGACACCGTGGCCACCGACTACTCGTACGACGGCCCGTTGATGCTCTCGCGGTTCAACTCGCTGACGGTCGACGGGTCCGTGCGGTCGGCGTCGGCCACCACCAGCGCCACAAGCGCGACCACGGCGCCCAGCCCCGTCCTCGACTCCGCGGCACGGTCGTCGTACCTCTCGTCGGCGCCGACCAGCTACACGTCGTCGCCGATCCTGGCGCTGGGCGAGGCAGACGGTTCCGATGGTGCCGGTATGAACAACATGAACAACAAGCCCACATCGTCGGGCCCGGCCCCCTTTGTTGCGCCGCCCATTGCGGCGCTGCCCCCGCCGGCACTGTCGGCGGCGCACGGCCACGGCTCGTCGCAGAGCATCCAGGACTTTATCAAGTTTGCGCCGTCGCCGCCCGTGCCGCCCATCAGCCTGCCGCTGTCGCCCAAACACCTGCCGCGCCGCGGACGCGGCGACGTGGACGACGACGTGGACGCCATTGATGACGACGACGATCACGACGTGCACGGTGGTGGTGATGATGGCGGCGGAGACGATCCGTTGATGCGGGATGCCGAGCTGGACGACCTGGAAGAGCAGATTTACCAGCGCCCGGGATCACGGCAGCAGCCTTTCCGGCACGACCGGCACGACCGCATCAACACCAAGCGCACAATGCAGCCCGACGTGCGGGACGCGACGACAGCAGCGGGCGACCGGCCGATGTCGCGGCAGACGACGAGACGGTCCTCGATCGCCACACAGCCGCAGACACAGCCACACAGCCGCCCACCGGCCACGCCCGAGACCATCCTGGACCACGACCTGCACGACCTGCCGTCCCCGTCCGGCATGGCCTCCCCGAATCTGCCACCGAGCATCCCGTCGGGCATGTCCGACAAGGTGTTTGACAACGGCCTGATGGTGGTGGACGAAGAAAAGGACAAGGACAAGGCCAAGGCGGGCGCCGCATCGGCCGCGGGCGACAACGCGGACGTGCCCCTGACGCGCGAGTTTGTGCGCGAGGCCGATTGCAGCATCGGCCCCAAGAGCACGTTTGAGATGATGGGCGGGTTCTGCAAGGGCGCCGACCTGTACCGCAGCGGCGGCCACTGGCAGGGCATCAAGCAGACGGGCGGCTACGTGGCCAACAAGCAGGCGAGCATTGGCCGGTGCGTCGGCTGCAGCTATGCGCACAACTACGAAGAGGTCCGCCTGGACATGGAGAAGAAGCGTAGGTCCCTCCGTCCCTTCCCCTTTCCCTGTATCATCACCTTCCCCTCCCGCTGCTGACTAACACCTCCAGCCGAAGCCACCTTCACCAAAGCCGGCGGCGCGCGGTTCCGCCTCCGGCTCCTCTACAAGTCGCACATTGCCACGGCCATCAGCTCGCAGCGGCAGGCCGAGAGCCACTACGCGTGCATCTTTTGCGTGCACGCGGGCGCGACGGTCCGCGAGGGCGACGCGACCGTGTTCACGACGCCGGACCACCTGCTGCTGCACCTCGCGCGCCACCCGCAGCCGCTGCCGCTGGTGCCGGGCGTCACGGTGCTCTACGGCACCGACTACCAGCCGGCGTCGGCCAGCAGCGTCAGCACGGCCAGCAGCTCGGACCCGGACACCAACAACTTTGACCTGCACCTCGTCAACCCGCCGCTGCCGACGCCGGTGCCGCCCAGCGTGGGCCAGGCGCCCGTGGCCACGGCCACGCGCGAGCACCTGCAGCGGTGGGGCGCCAAGAAGCTGGCGCGGCCGCCCAACTACGGCGGCGACATGCTGCACTTTTTGGCGGGGGCGCGCGTGGTGGGCGTCATGTTCCCGGAAAAGTGGGAGGGCAAGTGGTGCATGGGCTGGCACGACGGGTTTGTGGGCGCGTTCCCGGCCAAGGCGGCGCTGATGGAGCCGCCGCGGCCGAGCGAGATTCCCATGGCCAGCAGCGACAGCGGCATGTCGGTGACGACGCGCTGGAAGTGGAAGCCGCACGAGGAGAAGGACAAGGACAAGGACGGCAAGAAACAAAAAGGGTCCGGCGACTCGAGCAGCAGCGTGCTCAACGCCGGCGGCGAGGCGTCGCTGTGGCTGTCGTTTGACAAGGGCGAGACCATCTCCAACGTCAAGTGCCTCTACGCCGACCACTGGTGCTGGGCCGGCACCAACAGCAAGGGCCGCTTCGGCGTCTTCCCCCAGTCGCACATCCTCACCAAGACCCTGCAGCAGGAGTCCCTGGCGCCGCTGCGGCCCATCAAGACCGGGGGCTGGTCCGCCAAGAGCATCTTCAAGGGCGGCAGCAGCGGCGGACGGAGGCCGCCGAGCAGCAGTGCCGCCTCGTCCATGAGCAACAGCACCGGGCGGACGCGGTATACGTGAATGTGACTGGGGTGGTCAGAGACGACAAGTTCATGCGAGAGTTGTGTACTATTGTAAGACGAATGTAATGCATTTTAGGTAGACTTTTGGGATAGATCGGACCAAGACAGAGATGGCCATGGATATTTACCATGGATAATATGAGCGGTAACGGACTGCATGATCCGTGAGTCGATCGGATCGACTGTCTTGGAACAAGTGCGTGGGACAACAGATGTGGTTGACCGTTGGCGCGCGCCGATAGCGTGGACGAGGCTAAAAGCGTTGGTGATGTTTACACGCACGAGTTCCTTGGTGTGAGGGACGGGAAAAGGACGGGAAATAGGGCATGGACGAAAGGCGACAGCTCGAATGCACTCCGCCGGCCTTGACTGGTCTCAGCTTGACCACGGCCGCCATGAGGCCACTAATGCATGGCAGGAGACCAAGGATGTGCGCTATCCTGAACGAGCATGCGTCCCGGCAGGGCGCACATCCCTTGCGTCCATCTAGGGAATGACAGGCCGATCGTAGTGCGTGGTGGACACAGCGCAACAAGAAACGACTACAAGGCGGGGAGTCACATCGAGCAGGGGGCAGCAAGTGACGGAAAGGGCATTGGGACGGGATCGACCCGGGAAATAAATAATGGTGTGAAAAGTGACCGGGGATATGGGTTGCGATGCAGCGGGGAATATGACAAAAGACAAAATAAGTAACACGATGGTGGCCACGCCAAAAAAATAAAATAAAATAAAATAAAAATAGAGACAATAAATAAAGAAAAGAAAGTGTGCTGTAAGCCTGGCTCGCCTGGGAACGAAGCACGTTTCTACCCCAAAGATCAGCAGTCGACTTCCCAATATGCAGAAAAGAAGCGAGGAAGAGGGGAGACGCAACAACGAGAATCCCCAAACAATATGGCTATGGCAAGGCGGCTTGGGGCAACGATCCAACTGAAAACGAGAAACTGGAAATGCATGTCTCAGTTTGTCTCCACGTCCAGCCAAGCCTGGGCAGCAAATGGACTCGGCGTCTGCACTCCCTTTCCATCTCCTTACTTGGCTGGAGAGGAAGACAGTTGACGTTGCTACTTCCATTTGCCCTGGTTGAGCTATACTCTTAGTCGAACGTGGAAGCAAAAGTAGGCCAGTGCAAACGTCGAGTGTGTGCCCCTTGCATGCGGCTCGAGGAAATGGTCACGGACTTGGGAGCGGGAGCGGGAGACCGCTGGTTTGGTTCTTTGCCTGTCGATCAATTCGATTGATGTTGCCGTAGAGCTTTCCTCTCCCATCGTTCACGCAGCACAAACGAAATTAACGAGACAGGACAGTGTGACGGGCGGACAAGAGGCGTGTTGGTGTGATACTTTTCACCATTCGTTCTTTTCATTTTTCCCACTTGTCTTGCCTCCTAACCTGACAAGCCACATTCTCACCACGCAGTCACATCCAGCTGGCCCGCCCTTATTGTGTTGCGCTCCTGAGCCTCCAATCATTGTAAAGTTTTTCGTCTTTCAGTTTCTCTCAACGCCCACTACTTATCGACTATCGACGGGAATGTCTCTCATTCTCGTCTTGTCTCGTTTTTGTCGCGTTATTTGCTCGTTTTTTACTCGTTTTTCAGCCCCGTCTCCTCCTTGCATGTCTTGCTACTGTCGAGCCTTGCCTGTGTACAGTTAGCATATATGATCGACGCCATGTCTTCCTGTTTTGTCTTGATATGTTTCTTTTTTTGTTCCTTTTTTTGTCCTTCCCAAACGCCGCCAGTCGCGTCTTCTCTCGTGCTCCGTCCCACATATCCCCAATGTCTCGCTGTCCACACGCGCACAAACACAAAAGTGTCTTATCAATGTCAATGGAGTCCGTCGGCCACGTCGTACGTTGTACGGACTCCCAGATTTGCACCCACCCATTCAATGCACAAACTATGGAGTGCCGAGCAGATGCAGGGCGCTAGGGCGCTGGCGCTACGTTGGGACGTTGGGCAAGGGACAGGGGCTCAGCCAGGCCCAGCAGATCCTCTGTGTATCTTATGTAGACGCACCCTTGCTTCCTGTCCACTTACACGACATGTCCACAGTCCACAGATCGCCTCTTGCCATGATCAAGACGGCGGATGGATGTGTTTCGTTTGTTGTCTCGTCTTGTTTTTCTCCGCCGTTTGTCTCGTTCATCTATCCAATATTACTTCTACCGTAGTGCCCGCCCATCTTCTCGAATGTTGTTTGCCGTTGTCTCTCCCGTCTCTCCCTCCTTTATCCACGCATTCTTTCGTTCCTGTTTTGTTTGTCCAACCAGTTCTATTCGCCTTTTACACTTTCTACTTCATTTCCTGCTCTCGTCGTCAACCATCCAGCGTCTGATTTCAACCAGCAAACCTCGAGTGCATTCCTCTGCATCGATCACGACTGCGCGCCGACGCCTGTACATGCCCTTGTCCGCATCAACATGATTCTCGAGCGGCAGGGCCCCGGCTCTGGCTCACTGTTGGCCGCCGCCATGGCCGCCACCCACCGCCGCCGGGACGCGTTGTACACGGCCAACCCCACGCCCGCCCAAATCGCCCAGCTCGACCTCGCCAGCAAGTCCTCCCTCGAAGCGCTGGTCACGGTCGTCTCCGCCGTCGCCATGGCCCTCATCACGTCCACCGTGGTCCTGCGCCTCACCGTGCGCCGCTACTCTGTCGGCCGCTTCTTCCTCGACGACTACCTCGTCATCCTGGCCTCGGTCTTCACGCTCGTTGTCTGCTCGGTTGTCATTGCCGCCACCAAGTACGGCCTCGGCCAGCACGTCTGGAACCTGGACGGGGCCACGATCCTCGATCAGCTCAAGGTCTGCATCCAGCTCATGTTTGTCGCCAACATTTTCTACGCGGCGGCCATCGCCTTTACCAAGCTGTCTATCCTCGCCTCCTACCTCCACATCTTTGCGCCGCGCGGGCTCCTCAAGACCACACTGTACGCGACGGCGTGCGTCACCGTCGGCCTCGGCGTCGCCTCGGTCCCGGCCACCATCTTTGAGTGCATCCCCGTCGCCGGCGCCTGGTCCCTCAACGACAGCGCCGCGCATTGCTACACCTTTGTCAACTTTTTGTACGCGAGCACCGCCATCAACGTGACGACCGACCTGATTCTGTGCCTTGTGCCCATCCCGCTGTTCTGGCGCCTGCAGCTGCCGCGGCGCCAGAAAATCGTCATCTCCGTGCTCTTCTTCCTGGGCGGCTTCGCCTGCATCGCCTCCATCGTCCGCCTCGCCTACCTGCACGTCCTCTACGATCCCATCGACGTGACTCGTGAGTTTCCCGTGTGTCACGTATTAGAATTTATTTATTTATTTTTTGCTCACCAACATAGACGACCTCGTCTCGTCCGTCATGTGGACCATTGCCGAGTGCACCATTGGCATCGTCTGCGTCTCGCTGCCGCCCCTGCGCTCCCTCTTTGCCAAGTTCTGGCCCGGCGTCTTTGGCAATGCCAGTCCCGCACACAGCAGCACCAGCGCCGTGTTTGTCGCCGGCAAGTCGGCCAGGATGTCGCCACACCACCCCTACGCGCGCCAGTCGAGTGGCCAGTCCAGTGGCCATGTCAACACGATCGGCAGCTTCGGCGGCAGCGCCAACAGCAACAAGTCCGCCAACGCCCTGGCCATGGCACCCCTCCCGTCGGGACTTGCGCGCCATGGCCGCCCTTCGCGGCACGCACACCACTCCCTGCATTCGTCGTCCGACTGTGACGACATCGACATCGACGACGATGACCTCAGTAGCCACGAGGAGGGCGGGCTCTCTCCACCCAAACCAGCGGTCGTGATCACGGCAGTCACGAACGTCTCGGATGGTCCCAACGACCTTGAAAAGTCGCCGCAGCGGCGGAACGGCGACGTCGAGATGGGCGTCGTGCCGTCACCAGAACAGCAAACGTCCGTGTGGAATCCACGACACGGCGGCTAGGTGTTGTTCAGCGTGTCCGTGTTCTTCTTGTTTTAACTACTTTTACGTCGATTGTTGCCTGTCCGTTCAATAACGCCATACCCTCTTTTGTTCGCCGCTCATTCTCCTTTTCTTATGTGCTTCTTAGTAGTAGAGACATGAATTGCATGTTTACCATCAACATTTGTAAGCGCCGCTTGACTTACGGTTTTGCTCGAATCGATTCCTCGGGTGTCTAGATAACCGTTTCAGTGCTTTCACTGCTCCTTATTTGTCGTTGTTTGTGGAGGAAATGTGTGATCGCATCTGACCGTGTCGTATTTATCTGATTCTCTGGACTAATCAGATTTTTATCTGATTGTTCAGCAGATGATTATCAGATCAAGTGCTGACAGACCCGCAACAGTTTGTAAATCCAAGCCATTTCATGCTGTTTTAAAGTCTTTAATTCCCTCTTCCGAGAGCACATCTGGGCGCATCGTTTCCCCTTTCCACTTTTTCCACGGCGTGAAAAGCACGCCATGTCCACCGGAAAAGCTGGAAATAGCAAAAAGGATGTGAAAATGGTGGGCACAGTGGACTGTGTAAGATGGCAAAAAAGGAGATTTACCATCAATCAGTCGGCTCCCCGGTTTCGGCGGTACTTGTATTTACCATTTTTGGTGCGCGCCCCAGGAGTTGACGGGCAATCTGGGAAAGGGCAACCGCGGCTCGCACCAAAACAACGCCAGTTGGGCAAGAAGAACCCGGAAGATCGCTGCAGGCCAATCAGATACGTAGCCCACGCTCGGGTGGAGTCATTGCGGCCAATCAACAGCCACAGATGGATCTGATAAGATGGATCTTTGCATGTTAGCGTTCTTTTTACACACGAGTCGGTGGAGGGGAGACTTGGCGAACTTCACGGGAGAAAGAAGGGAAGGAACGGTATCCAAGTGTGGGTTGTCTGAGGGCACAACTGCTGGAATTGGGGGCGCTCCTGCTTCCTTTCACAGCACTGCACCTGCCAGACGGACAAACAAAACAGTGCCCAACAGGGAAAGAGATGCCTTGAGCACCCGCCTCAACCTACTGTCCTTCCTGCCTGTTGTCAACCCCCTGACATATCCCCTCCTTTGCACCATTTTTTTCCTCCTTTTCGATGGCATCCTGATGATGCCTTTTGACTTCGATTTATCGTTCAGATTACGAGAATTCGTTTTCTCGCCATGCCACTCTTTACTGCACCCGTCACAATACCTTCGATCGCCATGAGGAAACGGAAAACCAGCAGCCGGGCTCTTCTGCCGCTGTTGTGCGTCGTCGCCGGACTCTGGACGGCCGGCGTCATGGCTCACGTCTCACCATCGATTAACGACATCGATTTCGACGGCCCCGGCGTCTCCAGCGACGACACGTACTCCCTCACATCCTTACGACACATTGGCTCTGCACCCGCTCCCGTCGTCGTCCGTTCCAACCCAGAGACATGTCTCCACGCCTGCCAGCTGGCCTTGCGAGAGCCCACTTTTGTTGACGTCCCGCCTGAGGCTGGCTTCCGCGTCAAGGACTGCTACAGTCCGCTGATGCAGGTGTCCTTGTTCATTTGTCTGCGCGGGTACTGCTCGGACGGCCGCGGTGCCGGCAGCCTCGACGAGATGAACCGGAGCTGCACCGCTCTGCGCAACGAACCGCTGCCTTCTTTTGAGGGCGTGCTGGCCGACTACCCGCCCGACAAGGTGCTGCGACTGCGGCGACTGCAGCGTCCCGAAGCTGTGGGCGGCACAGTCCTCTCAGAAGTCGTCGTCCTCTCCGAGCAGCTGTACGAGAACTCGTACGACACGCTGGCGGACCTGATCTACGTCCGCAAGTACCACAATTTCTATGGGTGAGTTGTTTTTTTTTTTTTTTTTTTTACTGTTTTCTGTTGTGACCCATTGGTGATCTTTGGCTGACGTGCTTCATAAGCCGTGCTGTGATTATCTTTTGGGTTGTCGTCATCCTGTACGGCATGGGCAACCGCGTTTGCATGACCGTTGTGCAGAACCTACGGCGGCGTCGTCGCTTTCTCTCACCTACTCTCCACCGCCGGACCACGACGGGTTACCACCAGGTTGACGAGGAAGAGGTCGAGGACAATGATCTTGTACTTGACGATATCGATGCTACAGGACGCGACTCCTACGACCAGAAGCAGGGTATGACCCCGGCTGGCCACAGCTTTGCCCGCCGGCCGCGTATCTGGCTGCAGCGCCACCTGACGACGCCCGCGACCTTTGGCCAGCGCTGCTCACAAGATTTTGGCTGGTACACCGTGCCGCCGCGTGTGCAGTCCGTCACGCTCTTGATATTTGCCATCATGAATACGGTCTTCTGCGTTCATGGCTACCGTGTCTTCACAGGCAACATGTAGTAAGTTCCGACGGTATCGTCTTCTTTTGTTTTCCATCTGAACAGCATGCTCACCACCTCCAGCTGGCCCACTATCACGCAACAACTCCTGCGCTATGTCTCGGACCGCACCGGTATCATCTCTTGGGCCAACTTCCCGCTCATCTGGCTCTTCGGCATGCGCAACAACATCCTCCTGTGGCTGACTGGCTGGGACTTTGGCACTTACAACAACTTCCATCGCTGGGTCGCCCGCATCGCTACTGTCCAGGCCATTGTCCACTCCATTGGCTACACTGCTCTCGTCTGGAAAGACGGCGGCTTCGCCAGCTTCCTGAACTGGTGGGCTCGCTTCTTCTGGTGGACAGGCGGCGTCGCCACTATTTTTATGTCACTGCTCCTGGGTCTCTCGCTCTACTGGCTACGTCGCCATGCCTACGAGGTATTTTTGCTAGTCCATATTGGCTTTTCCATCCTCATCCTTTTTGGCATGCTGGCCCACGTGTCCATCTTCCGTGGCGAGTACGACGTTTACTTTTGGGCGTGCCTCATCGTGTGGGTAGTTGATCGCGCCATGCGTGTCCTGCGTATCGTCGCTTTCAACCCGCTTTTCTGGAAGACGCGTGCCCAAGCCACCTACGATCCGCAGTCCAACATTGTACGTGTCGTCGTGCCGTACAATGCGAGCCTCTACCAGCCGCAGCCAGGTACCTTCTACTACCTGAATGTGCTTAACGACAAGCGCTTCTGGGAGAGTCATCCGTTTACCGTGGCCACTGTGGCCTCGCTCGAGAAGAAAAGGGGCCCGATTCCGAACGTGGATACCGATGTCGATGCAAATGCTTCCTCGTCGATCAGCCCCAAAAAGCGCCGCTTACCGCCGCAGTTGGTCGAGCTCGAAAACCAGTCCAACGCACAAAGTGACACTGATGATGTCAATCTCGGCGTGGATACTGACGCAGACACACCAACATCTGTCGAGCATGATACGTCCGAAAACAGCCGCCTCCTGTCGAACACCAACTACGGCAGCACCTGCTGTCACAATCCATATCAGCTATCGTCCCCCACTTTCCAGTCCACTGTGTCCTCGGCCGTCTCTCCACCAGCCCATGCCGCCTCGTCCATGACCTTCCTCATTCGCCCCTATGACAGCTTCACGGGTCGGCTACGGGACAAAGCCGCCGCCGCGGCCAACCCGGCCTACTCTTCTACGGACTGCTCAACCGGCTCCGTACCCCTCCGGCCGGCCCCGGCCAATCTTCGAGTTCTCGTCGACGGGCCGTACGGCCACGCCCAGCGTTTCGATGACGAGTACGACTCAGTCCTCTTTGTCGTCGGCGGCAGCGGCATTGTTGTGGCCTTGTCGCATTTGACGGGCCTTGGTCATGATTACACGCTATCCAAGGCGACGGCTGCGGGCCGCCGTCTCAAGCATATTCGTATCATCTGGGCCGTCCGTGAAGCAGCGTTTGCGGCCGAAGTGCTGCAGAAAGACCTTGGTGACATATTTGGTCACGACAGAGACAATTCCACGAGTGGCATGGGCGGGACGCGCGTTACCATGGACATTCATGTTACCCAGTCCAAACCTAGCGGTAGTGGCCCTGTTGGACATGCGAGCGAAGAAAACGACGAAGACGAGACCGTCAATGGCAGCGTCCGCGCCAGCCACGACCGCCCAAAGAATGGTGTCGACCGGCCACAACTGCCGCTGGGCGACACCATCCTTGGTGAGCCCTTGCCTCACAACGTGCGCGTCCTCTATGGCCGACCCGACGTGCAAAGTGAGGTGGAGGTGGCTGCCCGCCGTGGCCGCAACCGGGTGGGCAGCGCGGACCGCAAGCTTGCCGTGGTGGCCTGCGGGCCCGGGCGTATGGCCGACGAGGCGCGCAAGTCTGTAGTGGACGTGCTGGGCCGGCGTGACGCCGGCAATATTGACTACCTGGAAGAGAGTTTTCAATGGTAGGTTAGCGTGATGATTTACATGTATTTGATGATATTTACGACATACATTTTAGTCGCCATTTGTGGTTTTGTGTTTATGATTTAAGTTTTTGGATATATTTAAATATAGCCATAGAAGAGTTATTTTTACTGTTGGATCTTTTTTTGATCCCCAGACATAAAGCGAACATCTTGCAAGGAATTAAAAAACAGAGCTGAAAAACGAACAGGAGCAAAAACTATTACAAGTCAATTAACCTTTTTGAAACCTCCCATTGTTTACTTCCCTTATTTTTGGTCGTTGGGAAGTCAGCGTAACATCAAACATTAGTGGAAGGGTTCAAGGGCATAGGGGATATCAGTGGCATGGGTATCATTCAACACGTCGACCTTTGGTAAGTTGGAATGCGACAGAAAGGTGGAATATTGGAAAAAACAAAGACGACAAAAGAAAGAAGGACAAGTAAAACGAAGCAAAGAAGAAAAAAACAGAAGACGAAAGTTGCGAACCGAGCCAAAAAGGTACAAGGGGATGAAGAAAAAAACCGGTGGAAGAAAAAAAAAGACTTTTTGTCGACGTTGTCATCATATCAATATCTTAAAAATGAAGGATAGAAAGCATCCCATAGAGTCAACTTCAACAACGCTCACGCATGGCTGACCTCGGAGACATGTGTCTCCAGTGGCCCCTTGGCCCAGGGCGGCAGGCTGATCTTGGGAGGCGGCAGGTGCGTCGGTGGGGGCAGGGTGGCGTCTTTGTCCACGGCGGCCTCAGCCTCGCGAGCCTCTTCGACCTCGGCCTCGTTGTGCTGGTATTTGGGCACACCACCGGTGGTGGGCGGCGGCGGGGGCGGCTCGATGATGAGGCCGTCGGAGTCGGTAGGGTCACTGGCGGGACCGTGGTTGACATCGGGGCCACTGTCCCTCTCGACCTTGTTCTCGGTGGCAGTCTCATCACCGGCAACTTCGCGTGTCGTGGGGCCAGTGCCAGGGCCTTAAGGATCGGTCGTCTCACCGCCAGAGCCGTTGTTTGGCGGGATGTGGTGAGGGTGATGGGGCTTCTCGTACTTGGGCACGCCACCCACGGTATCGGGGTCGGGATAAGGGTCCTTATAACCGTCATTGCCGTCGTTGACACCGTTAGCGCTGTCCGCAGGCTCAGGGGCAGCGGCCTCGTCGGAAGCTTCCCTTTTGACAGCAGCCTTTTCGGCAACCGCCTGTTTAGCAGCCTGCTCCTCGTCAAACTTCTTCCAATAAGCAACGGCATGAGCAGCAGCAGCCTCAGCGACCTCCTCGTGGATCTTGTACGCGGCCAAGGGCGTAGGCCCCAGGTGTGAGGGCGGCCTACGGGCAGCGATGGGAGCCCGTGTAGGCGTGGGCATATCAGTTTCTGCAGCTGCATGGGCTGCATCAGCCATACCACCACCCGTAGGCAGGCCTTGAGGCGGGCCCGGGAAGGTCGGCAGGGAATCAGGGGTGGAAGGCGAGGGCCGGTTGTTGACTGGGCCGTGACCCCACTTGGAGTGCCACAGCTCCGGGAATGGTTCTTCTTCGGGCTCCGCCACAATCGGGTGCCAGTCCTTGCGAGCCTCGGGCGTCGGCGTCCGTGTGGCCGTCTCGACTGCCGCGTCACCCCCTTCAGTGGTGGCATCCGGGCGCCTACCGCCGGGGCCAAAGTGGTGCGTCGGCTGCAGCGTGGCTACCGAGCCGTCTGGGCCGAGCGACAGCGGTGGCGGCGACCGCTTCCGGTAGTGCTGTCCGACGGCCGCCTGTCTCATGTCCTCAACAATTTGCTCTTCATTGACAAACTGGTATCGATCGAGCCCCATTTCTACTTTTGTGTTTTCCACGAAATTCAACTGTCGGTAGGCCGAAATAATGGCCGACTTCTCGCGCAGCTGCTGTCGCAGGTCCAAGATCACGTCAGGCTCTGGAGGACTGGTCTCAAACTCCTCGATCTTTTGGCGCATCTCCTGAAGAACACGAGGGTTGCATTCGACCTCAACCAAGTCATCAATGGGGCGGGCGGTGGGCCCAGGAGGAGACTGGTGGGTCGGAGCAGCAACGCCATTGCGGCCGGGCTCAGCAGTAGGAGTGGCATCGATGTGGGCAGGGACAGCAGCAACCACGGCGTCGTAGTTGAGGGGGAACCCGTCTTCATCGCACTTATCCTCGTAGCGGTGGATGGTCTCCGTGAACATCGCAGTGCAGGTCGTGGGGCAGGTGCCGCATGACGTGGTGACCGTCTTGGTGGCAGTATTGCGGCAGCAGGGGTTCCTGGTTGTTGTCAATGATGCGACGGTAACAAAGACAAGATGAGAGAGGCAGAGAACTGAGCATACTTGCAAGGAATGGGAACAATGGTGCTCGTCGTCAGGGGCGTGGCGCGGCAGCGGTGCAGGAACGGGCACTGATTATACGGGCAGGGGTTGACTGCGGAGAGTTAGATATCGTGAGGCATGGCCGTGGACAGCAACACCAATGACAACATCAAGCACAACGGGCGTGAACATACCCTCACCGACCGTGGTGGTGGCCGTGTAGCACTGACTCTTTCCAACAGAGTAGTCAAGACAGGTGTCGGCCGGAGCAGCCCAGCTAAGGTGGGGTTAGTTAGATGCACGTGTTCCTATTCCAAGTAGAGGCGACGGCAACTTTGAGAGAAAACATACGCGGTGATGCCAAAACCGATCGTGGCGAGAGCGGCTTTGGACTTCATGGCGATTGTTTTGGTGAGAATAAATTGAAAAGTTGGATGAGTTTGATTGAATGAATTCGGGAGAAGGAGAAAAGATGGGTGGAAGAGCAATCCCTAAAAAGGAAGGAGAGGAGAAAGGGGCGAGGGAGGAAGTAAAAACGAAGCGAAGGAAGGAAGGAAGCTTGGAAAACAGGATAGAAGGAAGGAACGAAAAAGTGGGGGGAAGGAAGGAAGCAAGAACCACCACCCAGCTTTTAATGGCGATTGCCAGATGTATGGGCAACTTGGGAGACCAGAGCATACTGAAAACTCTGGAAAGGCGACGCGGTGATGGGCGGTGAATAATGCCATGGCCGCAGTCTGAATACAAGAATAGATGCAGATGGCAGAGAATGTTGGTGATGGTTGCTGCAAGTCCGTAGTACACGGAAGAGCCGCTGGTCGTTTTTGGTGGACGTGGCTTTGGCGCTACCTGATTGGACGCTGAGTCTGGGTATGGCTTATTCTGTACAGGGCTACCGCTACAAGGCTAACATTACACACGTTACCAACAGGACAAATAGGAGATGCGTTGGAGTGGCCATTACTGTGCTACTTCACGTCCCTGACGTATTTAAACTGATACGCTGGTTTCTATGATGTTCCATTGCTCTCGCCTTCTGCTTCTACCTCTACTTGTACACGTTGGCCGAATTACTTCCCAAATCGATGCTCGCGGAGTTTCCGTCTATTTCAAATTTGGAACGCTTCTCAATTTCTTTCAATTCACATCGAGTCACATTGTGCTGCTGCTCGGCATTTTTAATTATTATTTATCATTTCTGTCAAGTTTTGTACATCTATACAAGAGATCCGAGAGAAGAAAGCAAGACCCTCTCGTTGCCTCGGTCCCCTAAAACATGCTTTTATATATGCCAGTGATGCCAAATGGAGATGAGGGATGCCAAAAAAGCAGCCACAAATAAAAAAAAAGGACACCAGAAAATGCACAAAAACTCTCCCTCAATGTACGCTTGTACCTCGTACCACGTACTCGTAATCGTAGATTGATCATCGACACGGTGGCTGGTCGAGGATGTACCCGCGCCACCCATGCGTAAGCTCCCCCCTCGAAGCTCACCAACACACCGACCAATCAGCCTCCCCCACCAAAAAGAAACCCAGAAGCAAATACAAGCGCAAAAAAAATCGTACCACCATTCGTAACGCCCAGTTCATAATGTACAAGGTGAGGGTGAGGCGAGTCGAGGGAGGCGGGAGGGGTGGGAGAGAAGGAGGGGCAGGCCAGAGGCCGGCCCATACGGGAGGGGGGGCGGTTTCGGGCCTGGGACACAACGACAGCCTACGAAAAGAAGTAGTCGCTGTCCTTGAGGCGGCGCACGTCAAAGTCGCCCTTGGCGGGGATGGCCGGGAAGGTGAGCGGGACCCAGACCTGGACGGGCGTCTGGCGGGCCAAGGCGGCGGCCGTCTTGTCCTTCTTGGCCTTGGTCAAGGGCTTCTTGAGGCCGCGCAGCTGGGCTTCAAAGTGACCCGTGCCGGCGAGCGCCACGTCGGCGGGGGACAGTTCGTCAATGTCGTGGTCGACGTCGTGATCGATGTCGGCGTCGGCGTCGGCGTCCTCGAGCAGGGCCAGCTCGTCGTCCTCCTCCAGCGCCATCATCTCGTCACCGGTCGCGACGTCGCCCATTGCCGAGCCAATGCCGTCAAGGCTCATGCCGCCAGTAATGCTGCGGCCGCGGCCGCGGCCAGTCGCTGACGTCGCAGGTGTCGTAGTCGTAGTTGTAGACGTTGTAGACGTTGTAGACGTCGTACGTATCGTAGAGCCCGCCTTCGCCGGGCGGGCGGCCTGCATGAGCTTCTCTTGCGCGGCCGCCTCATCGGCGGGGATGCTTCCGAGACGAAACTCGGACATGTCCTCGGCCTCGACCACGGCGTCGGCATCGTCCGTGGCGGCCGCGGCCTCGGCAAAGAGGCTCGCGGGCGTCACCATGCTGCGGCCTTGGGCGACGCGCGCGGGGTCGTCGGAGGCTAGGAGGGCGAGCCGCGTGTGCTCGAGGACGAGCTCGTCCTTGAGCGACATGCGCGGCGCGGCCTTGCGGAGGGCGAGAATCTTTTGGGCGACGGCGCTGCCGCGGTGGACCTGGGCGAGGTAGAGCGAGCCGCGGTAGCGGGCCTCGAACTCGCGGGCGAGGCGGCCGACGACGTCCTCGCTGTGGATGCGCACAAAGGCGTCGCGCAGGACGCGGTTCATGGTGTTGATGTCGGCGGCGTGGGTCCAAAAGGAGTCGTGGACCGCGGCGAACTGCAGGCCCAGGGCGTCGCACTCGAGGGCGGACAGCAGCATGTGGCTGGCGTCGAGCGAGTGGATAAAGTTGGGCGGGAAGGCCTGCAGCTGCTTGCGCTTGTGGACGGGGTCGCTGCGCGCGGGGACCGACAGGATCAGGTCCTGCAGGCAGGTCTCGATGGTGCGGCTGGCGGCCTTGCGGTACGGCTGGACCACGGGCATTTGCAGGGGCGTCGTCCACACGAGCGTCGAGCGGAACTGGCCGAGGATCTCGTCGTTTTCGCGCTTCATCGTCTTGGTCGGCGTGCTGCCCGAGGCGCCGGCCTTGGCCTTGCCCTTGCCTTTGGATCGCGACTTTTTGGGTGCTGCCGCTGCCGCTGCCGCTGCCGCGGCCGTGGCCTCTTGGTGCGGCTCGTTGTGAAGGATGCGCTCAATCTGGTCGGGCGTCAGCGCGCGGCACACGCGGCCGCCAATCTCGCCCAGCCAGTGCTGGATGTCGTGGGCGCCGCTGAACATGGTCGACAGGGCCTGGAAGATCTTGGTGGCAATGTACGACGCCAGGACCATGGCGGGGATGTCGGTGTCGGCCTGCAGCGTCGGGTACAGCGTGTCCAGCTGCTTGAGGACCTGCTTGCGCGCGCCGGCAAAGGTCACGCCGTAGACGTTGGTCATGACGGTCTGCTTAACGACCTTGCGCTTGATCTTGCCGTCGAGCGCGCGCGCGTTGGGGTCGCCGTGAGCGGCGTCCTCGGCGATGCTCGCGCGGACAATGTCGGCGACGGCCGAGTAGACGTCGGCCGGGCGGTCGCCGGGGACCAGGTTGACCTGCTTGGCGCCCCAGGAGTCGCCGCCCAGCGCGGCGTAGTGCTGCAGGCCGTTGCAGGTGCCGTCCTGGTGGACGGGCAGGTGCGAGACAAAGGCCGTCGGGTCGTCGAGCGCGAGCGCGGCCGTCAGCTCCATGCACGCCGCCAGGCACTGCCAGGGGTCCTCGGCCGCGAGCCACCAGCGGCCGCCGCGCAGCGGGTTCGTGGCGGCATCGCGGATCTGGTCGACGTGCTCGTCGGCAAAGGCGGCGCGGTCGGACAGGCTGGCCTTGTCGTAGCCGTACACGTTGGCCAGGTGCACCTTGAGCCAGCGCAGGCCGTCGGCGCCGAGCGGCTTGCCCTTGGCAAAGGTCAGCAGGCCGCGGACGTGGTCGGCGCCCATGTGGTTGAAGTAGGGCGGGATCGGGTACGCGCGGCCGCGGAAGTCGACGTTGTGCGGGAAGTAAAAGGTCTGGTCGCGGAAGGCGCGCGCAATCTCCATCTGAAAGTTCATGAAGCAGCGCACCGAGTGCAGGCCGGACCGCTGGTTCTCGGCGGCCTTGACGGCCTTGAGCCACGTGCGGCGCTTCATGGGATCCTCGGACGAGTCGGGTTCGGGGGGGACGGCCACGTTGGGCGCGATGGGCGGGATGTCGGCAATGGCCTCGCCCGTGTTCCAGGCCTCGAGCAGCACGTTGAAGACGGGGCGGTTGACCTTCCAGGCGGTGCGGCCGAGCACGTCGAGGCCCTTGAGGACCTGGTCCATGTCGCCGCGCGCAATGGCGGCCTCGGCGTAGATCTTCTGGTCCTTGCGCGAGTCCTTGACGCGCACGAGCGGCGCCGGGTACTCGAGGAAGCCGCCCTTGTCGACGGTCTGCCAGGGCTGGGGCTCGACGACCATGGGCAGGTGGCGGGCGAGGAAGTCGCCGCGGGGCTCGCGCTTCATGAGGTCGACGAGGGTGCTGTTGGCGACGAGGACGCCGACCTTTTTGCCGCGGCGCAGCTGGTTGAGGCGGCTGAAGGCGGGCTGCTGCTGGGAGACGAGCGTGCGCGTCTCGGGGTGCTCCTTGACGGCGGTGACCTTGGCGGTCTCCATGAGCATGGACAGCAGGGCGGCGCCGACCTTGGCCTTGATGGTGATGGGCCAGGCGACGTCGCGGTCGGCGGGCCGTTTGGGCGTGGTGGCAGGGGTGCTGTTGGCGGCGTCAGCAGCAGCAGATGCGGCAACAGATGCGGCGGCCGTCTCCGCGGCGTCGCCGGCATGCTGCAGCGACACCTTGGCCGGGCGCATGGCCTTGCGCAGGGCGGTCTTGGCGGCGGTCTTGGCGGCGGCGCGGGCGGACGTCTTCTGGCCGCGGGCGGCCATCATCTTGGTGTGCTGCTGCAGGCGAATGTCCTCCTCGGCGACCTTTGCGATTTGCGTAATGATGTTGCTGATGGAGATGCCCTTGTCGGCGCCCTGCATGGCCATGCCGCTGAGCGTGCTGACAATGGTGACGGCGGCCAGGCGGCTGGGCAGCGACTGGCGCAGGAACGGCCCGTACAGACAGCGGTCCAGGTCCTCCTTGTTCTTGCTGCCCGAGGCCTCGGCGAGCTCAACCTTCTTGAGCTCCTGCGACAGGCGCAGCTCGAGGTCCTTGTGCCACTCGTAGAGGCGCGCGTTGAGCGAGGCGGTCGTCAGCGACGTGTTGAGGCCCATCTTGAGCAGCGCCTGGTTCTCTTCCTTCCAGCGCTCGACGGCCGCGTCGACACAGTCGCGCTCGAGGCGCGACTGGATCTCGCGGCGCTCGGACAGGTTGAGGCCGGCAATGTCGCGGCCCTCGGGGATCTCGGCGAAGAGGCTGAGGGTCTGCTTGAGCATGCGCAGGCCCATGCCCTTTTGCGGCGTGCCGAGGACAGGCGGCGTGTCGAGCGTGTCGAGCGTGTCGGGCGTG